GTCATTGACTGGGTGTTCCATTAAGGAGTTGAATAATAGTGATATTCTACTGTATCATCTCTTTTATTTATTGATTAGACTATGTTCATAAAGAAAATTGCCCTTGTCAACTATTGGTTTACCCTGAGATACAGTTTGTACAAAAAAAAGCATGATTAGTGTTTATTCCCTTTTATCTACCAATTTTCAAAATAATAAATTGGTTTCCTATCATCTTCCAAGGACAATCAGTGAAGTGTTTTGGTGGCAGGGGTAGTGTGAATGATTATGAAATCATCAATTTAAACATATTTTAATTATTCAAGCCATTGAAATTCTTTTTAATGCTCAGCTTTTCACCTTTGATTAGTGGAAGGAATCCTCTTCAGGCTTGCTCTTGAGTCCTGCTGCCTTGACTGCAGTAGTCTTGAAAACTTTCTCACCATTAATATTTAGTACAGGCCTGTGCTTTGAATTTTTCTAGGAAAAATGACCATAATATGAGCCCCCCACGGTTCTCAACAATTTTGTCCTCCCAGGAAACATTTGGCATTGTTTTTTATGTTGCACAAAGAGACGGGGAGGTTGGGAAGGGGGGGTTGCCTTGCTGGTGTCATAGGTAGAGGCTGGGGGCGGTGCTACTACGCAGCGAATGGACCAGCTCCTCAGAACGAGAATTACCCAAACCCAAAATGCCAGTAGTGCTATTGCTGAGAAACCTTGCCATATACTAGTTTATTTTAGCTAACATTTGCATAGTGTGTTAGCAGTTATGAAACCATACTGCCTTTCCCACAATGCTGGCCAATTAGCATTATCAGATGAGTAAATTTGGGGAAATCATACAACTAACAAGAAACTAGAATTTGAAATCAGGATCTTTGATTGTTGATGTTCTTTGTTCCTTCTCCCATTAAATGAAAATAGCTGTTTTTTTGTGTTACTAAAAGTAAGAGTTGAGAGCCAGACACTGTTCTAAATGATGTTATCCTCCAAACAGCCTTATCAGATAACTGTTATGGATGAACCCATTAAGTAATTCGTCTAAGGTCGTATAGCTAGTAAGTAGGCAGAGTTAGGGGTCAAACCTAGACAGTCAGGCCGCATAGCTCACACGTTTAAGTACTGTGTTACCTCACAATTTTTTCTTTAACAAGTCAAGTGTAATGTTTGTATATTTTAAGTCTTTAATTCAGATTATATTTTGATGTGAGGTAGGAATCCAGTTTTTTTTTTCTACATGTCTTCTGGTTTGATCCATTTAATGAAGAAGTCTTTTTTTTTTTTAACTAATTCCTTTAGACACACTACCTTTGTTACACATTAAATACTTTGGTATTTTCTGTTCCTTAGTCACTAGCGGATTGACTGGATCACTGGGGGCTCTGCTCCTATTGCTTGTTTTCTTTTCAGTGTTGGATATTATATATTTAAAAGCTTTTAGTGATTCCAGTGCTTGCTCTCCAGAGCAGATTCACCCTCTTGCCTTGCGTGGCATGTAGAATGGGGGCTGAAACTTTAATGCTATTAAGGACTTTTAAATATTTTTAATACGGGCAAAACACTCCCCTCTATATTTGCTTATCAGAAATTTTCTGGGAACTTTTCCCCTAGCTTGTTTCTTTCACTTGCACTTTTAAGATGGTTTACATACCTTTTGCCTCTTCTCCCTTTAAACTATTGTTTTAAGCTTTGTGGAAACTAACCATCTTAAAACTACTTGTGGAAACTATCTTAAACTATTGTTTTAAGTGCTTAAAATTCCTTGTTAAACTTATTTCAGGAAATTATTTCATTATTGTTACAGTGAAGAATAGAATTTTTTTCACTTGCATGTTTTTAAAGAAAAGTTCTTTTTAAGAATGTGACATTTGAGGAAAAGATGACATGTGTGAGGAGAAAGGACCGTGAAGCCAGTTTGGAAGAACTGCAGTCAGGAAGTTTTCCTGCGTGCTGGGGGAGTAACGAGGGAGTCAGAAGAGCTGGCAGAATGAGGTGGGAGGGAAGTAGGAAATAAAAGACAGTGAAGCCAGAGAGTGGATAGAGGTATAGGGCTTTTTTTGTGCACCATTGCAAGAACTCTGGTTTTTTTTCCTCATGAGTTCAGGAGCCATGTGGAAGGTTATGAACCGAGGACTGGCATGATCTGACTGAGGTTGTAAAATAAGATTACTACTAGTATGTTTGATTAGTTGGAAGGAGGAGCAAGCCAGGAAGACCAGTTGAGGAGGCTTTTTAAGAAACCCAGTGAGAAAAGATAGTGATGTAGACCAGAGTGATTGCCATTGAGGTAGTATTAAAGTGGTTAGATTCCAGATACATTTAGAAAGTGGAAACAATCGGATTTCATGATTGGATAATGGGGTATGTGAAAAGAAGAGACTTTAGGCTGAACCCAGGGATTTAGGACTTAAGCAGCTAGCAGACAGGAAGAACAGGAGTTCAATTTTGAACTGAGATGTCTATTTAAAGACATGTAAATGGAGATGTTGAGTGGGCAGTTAAAAAGTCTGAAATTGTGTTAATTGGTAGCATGTTACTGAATAATCTTGATGTCCAGGAATAAATCCCCACTTGCTCATGGTAGGTTTTTTATATTTGTTGTGATTTTAAAATAAAATAAATGGATACTTGCGTGCAATTTGGCATCTTGTTTGTGTGTGTGACTTTGTGTACTTAACAAGTATATCTATAGGATCAATTCTGGCTGTGGGTTTGTGCAAAGCAAGTATGAATTAACTAATTTCAAAGTTGTCCAAGCCTGTCCTTCAAAAAAAGTTCCAAAAATTACATTTTGTATTAATTTGTACTAAGATATTTTTATATACTCTTATGTTCTGTATATTAATACTTCAAGTTTTTTTCATTCAAAAGTGAGATTGATATTTCTGTGTGTAAATATCCTTTGTCAGGGTTTAAGTCAGAATTCCATTTTTTAAAAAGAACTAGAGTGTTCTTGTTTCTTTTTGCCAGCATCAGCCATTTTAATTGAATAGAAAATTATCTGTACTTAAATGTTTTTAAAGACACTGACGGACTAGTCTGTGCCCCTTTTTTAGGACATGTATATTCCCTGATTAGATGGAATACAAAAATATGTAACGTCTCAGCATTACACAAATGCACAATGTAGAAAGTGAAAGCCCTCTTAATCTTCCCTCCCCCCCAGCCCACCCCCTTGGCAAGCACATCACTGGTTTCTTACACATTCTCCTCTCTGCATATTATGTTTTATTTGGATAGTAATTTACAATAATAACTAAAATAGAACAATTATAATAATATAGTATAAAAAATTTATGTGAATAAGGTCTTGCCCTCAAAATGTACTGTACGATACCCACCCTCTTCCTTGTGATGATGTTGAGATGATAAATGCCTGCGTGATGAGATGAAATGAGGTAAATGACATAGGCATTGTGATATAGCATTAGGCTACTGTTAACTTTCTGATAATGCATTTCTGATCTTTTAATGTTTAAAATTTGGTCCTGGCTTTAGAACTTTATTATCCCCTAGGATTTTTAGAAAATCGAAAAGTAATTACCTAAATCCTCCCATTCATCTATGTGTGGTCTGTGGTTTTCGCCCCTGCCAGTGTACCCCTCTCTTTATCTCAAAATGTTAACTCCTTCAGAAAGCCAGCACTGATTAAATAGGGTGCAAGGGATTTTTTTTTTTTTCCAAAACAGTACCAGTTACTGTCTACACAGAAGTACTATGTTTAGTTGATGTAATTCCCTTTCAGTAGCATCTGCAGCAACGGCTTACTGGCTTTCTCTTACTTCAGTGCGTCTGCCCCATCTAACCTTCACAGGACCTTCTTTGCATGCCTGTCATCCATGTGGTTGCAAGAAGGAGGCAATTGGGGAATGTTGATAAAGACCACATTGTTCTCATATTCATCCTAATCCTCTACATGTCCATAAGGGTAAACAAACAGCTTTCAAGACATGTCTGCCTTGAAACTAAATGCAGCTCCCCTGGTTGTTATAGAGCTTTCACTAGCAGAATTAAACGTTACCCTTTTGTCTTTATGTGACAGCGCCCTTCCATCCCTAACAACCCTTCTCAGTGAGCCGTTTCACAGCCAAGTCCTTTCCTTCCAGGACTATGTGCTGCCCGATGACTCTTTTTATGGGTCATGATTGGGCAAAGGCCAGACTTGTTCCTCATAAACTAGAACCTAGGGATCCTGCATTCAGCATAACCTGAATTTTTCTCCTCAAAGCATGAAATTATAAAAATCCCCCCCCCCTTTTTTTATAGGATTAAGTCTTTAAGACTTAAACTATATTTCACTGTGGACTTAGCTAGAGAGCTTATTTCTTATCCTGCTTCCATGTATACAAAGGAAGCTTCATGGAAATAATTTTATCTCCTTGGAATTAATCTAACACAAAGATTGGTTGTGAACACTCACCATGCCAAATTATTTTCATTGCTTAAGCGTGAGCTTTATGTAACAGTGGGCTTTGGACTAGGTTAGAGAGTAGCTGATGAGTTCTATATAGTCCAGTAAAATATGCCACCTTGTTTGAGACCACTGAAAGTCTTTTTAGGAGGAGTTGGGAAAGAACAAGAGAGGTGTGGTTGGTTATTAAGGTTCTTAGGTAGGTGAAGTTGCTGAAGAGCACAAGTTAGGTCCCACCTGAGGCAGGAGCCAGCTGTTCATTCACCTTAGCAGGTCGAAAATCACCAAGGTGGTAGAAGCATGCAGGTTTGTAAAGTGTTCTCAGAAAACAGTTTCAGTAGCTTTAAACTTTCACAAGTTTGATACCTAGATAATAAGCACATAAGTCTTCAAATAATTGGATTTCATCACTGAAGAAACAGCAAGTTTATTTTATTACTTTGAAGGTTAGTCCATTTCAAAGTGGAAATCTTTTAACAAACTAATCAAACTTTCTTTTAGCATCATCATGTAGGTACCTAGAAAGGGTGGGGTCCTTTGCATAATGAGTTGGGGAACTGGGTTTTTATCAGACACTGAATTGTCGGTTTTGTCTGGCTTTTCACAGGTTCACCGGAACAGCACAGTGCGCCCTGGTTGCGATGTCAACTCTTCCTGTGCACTCTGTGGTTCAGGAAGCGCCAACACCATGCCTCCAGAAATCCACTATGAAGCCCCTCTGTTGGAACGCCTTTCCCAATTGGACTCCTGTGTTCACGCAGTTCTAGCATTTCCAGATGGTAAGAAAGGCCACAGAACATCAAGTCTAATAAATGAGACTTAAAGGGTTCAAAGTGACCGAAAGCCAAGATCCTGGTACAACCCAAGTACTGTAAGGTGTCGCTTTCTACCCACAAAGACTTCTCTTAGAACTTGCCCAGAGTGTGCCACTAAAAGATTGCAGCTTGCTTAAGAGAGATTACCACATCCCTTCAATATAGTTGAACCCTTGTACATTACACCTCAGTGTATCTGTAAAGTATTTTTTGTGTGTGCCATGATGTAAAATAGGATGGGCAGTGCTGTCCTGGGAGGATGTCTTCATACCAGAGGTGTGCATATTACTGTGGTCACGTGATGGCCTTCCAAGATTGTTGATACACGTAGATCCTCAGTGTTAGTATGTGTTCTTTTTCTAAAGTTAATCTGCCTGATAAGCCTCTGTGGCTGCCAGTTTTCCTTTCCCACTTCCCTTTTCATAATTTCTCTTCTCCCGTTTCACAAAAGAAAGCCATTCCTCATGCCCATGTTGAGTCTTGCCCCAAAGTATAAAAACCTTGTGCAGTGGGGAGACCAAACAAAGGGACCGTTTCCAAGAGTTCGTGGCTCCTGAAGGAGAATCCTGTAGAAGTTAAGTAAAATAGAAATATGAACTCAAAAAAATGAAGATGGAGGGGGAAGGTACCTTATTTTGTTTAGAATATAACTTCTAGCAAGATTCTATGCCTTGTCTGTCACCTTAGGATAAATATTAAGAGAATATCTGCAGTTAGACTTTGACGAAAGTTAGATTGACTAGGTTTAAAAGAAAAATTTTTCCTTCACTTAATTAAGCTAAGTATATTTACATGCCAGGATGTTGATAAAAATATTTTTAAAGCATGTGTAATATTCTAGAAAATACATACTTTACAACTAGTTGGAGTTTTTTCAAAATTGTTTTCAAATGGTGGGGGGTATACACACAAAATGTTGAAACCACTGTTCTAGATGGAGAGCACTGGAAGCCAGTGATTTCATAGTTTGGATTGGTTGTTGATTTTCAGGTCATCTTATTTTCTGGCCCAACCTACAGAGTGTAAGCATTTCTTCTCAAGTCAATCTTGAGATAGTCTGTCTATATGTTATGGCTTATATTATGGCCATTTATAGACTTGTTTTCCCTGACTTGAATTTAAGCTCCTGAGGATAAGGGACCAGGTTTTTCTTCTACCTTGTCCTTAGTAACACCTTACAGATACAAGTGCTTGAAAGGAAGATAACTGAAATAGGAGTACAGTACAGCTGACCCTTAACATGGGTTGAACTGCATTGTTCAACACTGTAATCCTGAGAAAGTAACCCAGATGTTTTTTGATAAATATGTTGGAAAATTGGGGGCGGGAGGGATTTGCCAGTTTTGAAAAAATACTTTTTTCCCTCTGGCTTAATTACAGGAATACAGTATATAATGCATACAGCATACAAAATATGTGTCATTCAACTGTTTAATGTTATCAGCGAGGCTCCCAATCAACAGCAGGCTACTAGTAGTTAAGTTTGTGGGGAGTCAGAAGTTACATGTGGATTTTTGACTGTGCAGGGGTCAGTACCTCTAACCCCTGTGTTGTTGCAGGGTCAGCTCTACTTGAGAGTAGGATAGCTGAAGTAGGAGTCTGAGGAATGAGAATTACGTGGCATATAAGATTTAGTTGGTGTGGTATGAGGAAAAAACCAGAAGCTTTTAGCATGAGTAGTATATAAACTTTTTCTTAAAGGGACAGATGCTAAGTGATTTCAGCTTTGCAGGCTGTACTGTCTGTGTTGCAACTATACAACTCTGCTGATGTAGCACAAATGCAGCCATAAAAAGTATGTGAACAAAATGGGTGTGGCTGTTCTAAAAAACTTAGTTTATAAAAACAATCATTACTGATACCTGTCCTAGAGAATCCCATCTTCTGATTGACAGTTGATCCAGCCAGCACTGGATGACGCTGTAATCCCCTCTTTATCTGTTTTCAAATTATTGAATTCTTTCTTGGCCACCCAAATCCTATACTGTCTGATGCCTTGTTATCAAAACTCCCTTCTGCTGTGAGAACGAGCACAGTAGAATATTTCTGCTGCCACGTGACTTCCCTTAAGAGCAGAAATATTTAGAAAACTTGGAGCATATGGACAGCAAACTAGATAGTGTTTAGGTTAGGAGTGGTGGAGCAGTAAATTAACTAGAACAAAACTGTTTACTCTGGGCGTCCGATTCTCAAGCTGATGACTTGTACCTTCTCTTGCCATTTCAATTATAGCTTATATAACTTGAGTTAATCATTTGTATAGCAATTTATGGGTCGCAGAGTGCTTCTCTCAGTAATCTTGTAAGGTGCCACTTCAGTTTTACAGATTCAAAAACAGGTTTGTAGAAGTTGTGTTCTGTCTTAGGCTAAATGGCTACAGAGTTTAGGTGGCTCTCGAATTCAAACCTGGGTCATCTGATGCCTGTCCTTTGTTTCACTGTATTTCCATGTTCCTTCCTAGCCACGTTATTAAGAGAAGTCAGGTTTCTACCCATTTCTAGACTCTGGCTACAGATGTAGTCACCAGGAAGACTTAACATTTTTGGGGTTACTCTCTCAGGATTACAGTGTTGAATTATATTATCTCATATTTGAATAAAGAAGCCTGAAATGTCTCTAGTTCTGTTCTGATTTTGATAATGCTTCATACTCATTGAATATCAGCTGATAATGGTCATTTCTTTGTCTGCAGTATTGCCATGTACAGTTGTGAACTGCCTCCCTCACCCCCTAATCAAATAAGCCCAAACCATTTGCCTGACATCTGCTGCTGCATCACTCACCACCACTACTAGAGGTACCCATCCCCTAGTAACACTTTCCTTCTGACTGCATCCTGTCTTTGTATCTGACCCCTGCCGTTAAGCTTCCCCTTCCATCTCATTCTAAACAATTAACGGTAGTAGTGAGAGGGAAAGAAAGGGAAGATATGGAGCACCCCTTTTTGTGATCTCCATCATCTCCATTTTCCTGCTTGCCTCTAACCAGTTTTCTTTGTCTCTCTTACACACTCTGGTGTTTGGACAAGAGAGTTGGTTATTAAATAATTCTTATGAGACTTGGAAAGGAGAATACATATTTTGTTTATTATCCCAAACAGGATGTATGAACATATTTGCCTATGGATAAATTAGACTTTATATGGGTTGACCTGGGGACCCAATCACTGTATCTAATATTGTTCCTGTTGGGGTAATTTTGCTTTGATCCAAACAGCTATTACATTCAGAATGCAGGCTTTTTGCAAATTGGAAGATTCCCAGGTCCACAAAGATGCCCAACTCCAGAGGGCACCATTATTCTGTGAACAGCACCTCCTAAGTATTGAGAATCCCCATTTATTACTGTGTAGAATAGTAACAGTAAAGACTAGAAGACATCATAATACTGTGAGTCACACGTCTGCCCCTAACCTGACCTCTGAGCCACCCTTTGCAAACCTCTTTTATAGATACTTAACGATGGCAGGATTTCCAATTTTTCGTTTTCAAGTAGTTTTATTGATGTTTAACTGGTTTTTGTAGTTTCTTAGGATGGGAACCAACTGCAACTCTTTAATCCTAGAGTCTCCTCCCTTGACCACACCTCATCCCCATCCTCCACGTGTGGCTAGAGATGATAGAATTTGAGGAACTGTGTGAACGGCTGGAAGGTGGAGGCATTAGGGTGTGATATCCCTTTAGTACTCTAAAAGGAGGGGCTTTTGTTTCCTTATCTCCTCACTTAATCAAGGCAGTTCATCTGTAGCTTGAATGTACAGGATGTATAAACCTTGGGGAAAAGAATGGTAAAAATACGCTTGGGTTTAATAAGAGCACCACCTGCTGGCCATGAAGATCTATGCTCTTTTGAAAGAGCTTGCCAGGACAATTAGTGGCTGTGTGCATGAGAGGGGCTTCTGCACCTTACCAGTAGGAGGAGGAAGTAAGCATTACAAAAATATCCAAAGAAAGTGTGCCTGAGAAAATGGTGGAAAGTATTGAGCAGAACAGTCAGGTAAATCATGCTGTCATACCCTGGTAGGCCTGAAGTCAGGGTCTTTTCATTTTGTTTGAGGAAGTAGTGGCTCAAGATGATGTTATTAATCACTTATTTTCCTTTTACTGACCTGATCTGTCATCTTCACCCTCTTCCCTGATAATAACACTAATGCTGTTCCCAGTGCAGGTAGGAAATGTGTGAAGTCCTTCAGCTTATTGTGTTCTATTTCAGTTTTAGCTCTACACAGAGACCAGATGTTTAGACCAGCAATTCCTAAATGATTGTTTTTGTTCACTGACTGAGGAATTTAACTGAATTCCTGTTTACTCTCACATGAAAATAGTTAAAATACAGCACACTTACTAGCAAAGTATAGAGGCCTGAGTCTCTTAAATATTTTATGATTGTTCCTAACTGCTTTTTCAGTGGGTTTATAGGGGAGGTTGCTCTTGATTTGGCAAGATAACCACAACTCCAGGGCACAAAGAGGTGTATTCTACAAGGCACAAAGCGTTACTCTACAATTGCACCAGTTTCCACTTCAGAGCATTTAAATGAGGGGAAGAGGATTGGGAGTAGAATTTTAGTTGAAGAACCATTAGTTTAAGAAGTTGGAGTTGAGAGGAGGACTTAGTAGTCAGTTGTCTAGCAGGAATAAATAGGTTACTCTCTTGTGCTTACTTGAGTTGATAGATAATGGCTGTCTGGATTCCATTATTTAATTTTTTGAGATGGATCTGAGGTCTTGGGGTACAACAGGAAATTGTGTTGTGGTTGCTTAGCCTGTGTCTGCAGCAAAGGAAAGGAGAGCCAGAACATGTGTGCTAGGAAGTTGCCAGCCCCCATGTAGCCCTGATCTTGCCAGTCCATGACTTACAGTTGAAACGGCTCTTTAACTAAAATTTGTTTTACAGATGAAGCCCAGCTGAGTGGTTTGTTCTTGTCTCCTCCTCCTCAGCAGTGGAATCAGGACCTGAATCGAACCCTATTTATTTTTAGCCTATTTCTATTTCTACTATAACCAGGTCTCTCATATCTATATCTTCTTTTTTCTGTGGCTTGATTTTCAGGTTTGGGAGCGCACTGACTGGGGAAAATAAAAAGGAAGAAGAGAAATCATTGAACTCCTATTATATCGCCTTTGCCAAGTAGAGTAATTCATGGACTGACGTGTATTCTGGGGTGTAGAGGAAGTGTTCCCCCCTCTCTTGAGCCTGCTTGATACAACCCAGTTAAGCCCAGATATCAGAATGCCTCTAACAATACTTAATTGTATGTTAGAGGGTGTTAGTACACCCCTTTCCCTAACCACACTAAATTAAGGATACCATTAGAGCTGTTAAACTCAGTTCTGATTGCTTATTAATGGGAAATCCTTTACTTTAATGTCGACCATTTTGGGGGGGCAAAGGGGAATCAAGCTATTTTATTGAGGTTTGAGGGAGGAGTTGAAGGTCTGGGAGCACAGTGAGATTCAACATCCTTGGCTGGGGCTTCCCCAGGTGGCTGAAAGCTTACTTTTTTCTTTTAAAAGGTTGAGATAGATGAGTTTATTTTTAGGGAAAAAGAAGGATGATTGTGGGGGGGGGGGATTCTGAAGACAGCAGTGTCTTCACAGACTGTAACTCAGTACTTGGACATGTAATAAATATTCATTATCAAAAGGTTTATAGTTTTCCTAATTTGTTTCACTGCCTTAAAGGGCTACTGGTCTCTTCTCAGAATTAGAAAACAATGTCTGGTGCTGAGGCTGCCTGTCCATTGGAGGAAATCTTGAGAAGGGAACTATGTTACTCATTCAGGAATATGTTCATTCCAGTTCTGAAAGGCCTGGTGTTCAAACTTGTTCTTTGAAGTGTCATGAAATCCATGGTCTGTGCTACAGGAAAGAGTGATTAAATGTCTTTACATAAAGCTGCAGAACTCTTTTGAGAAATACTGCATTCCACCTCAAAATTAAACCTCTCCATTCTCTGGACCAAAGAATAAATTTCATGGTGTAGTGGCTGAGACTGTGAGCTTTATGGTTACACACACCCTGAGTTTGAATGTTGTTGTTTGTTCCTCAGCTGTGTGACTTTGGGCAGTTAATTTCCTCTCTAAAGTGTGCTCTTTAGAAGGAGCATGATGATACTTACATCATGGAAGTGTGAGGAAGATTGATGCCCACATGGTGACACACACACAATGCTAGCTCCACAGCAATGGGTCCACTGATCCCCCTCTTCTCTGCTCCCCACTCCTGGCTCAGAAGGAACACATCCTTCATCCTCTCTGGGAGCCAAAATCCCATAAATGTTTGGGAAATAAATACATCTGTAATAGTTTAGGGGGTGGAGGGAGCGTGCCCATTGATGACTAGAATTTGGAGTGATTTTTGACAGATGAAAGAACAGGATAACTGGAGAAATAAAACTAGAAACAGTAGCCCAAAGCACATGGAGGAGTGAACGCCTGTGGGGTAGGAGCTGTATGGGGATGGTTTTTCTCCCACAACGGGAAAGAGCACAGAGAAGTGGGGGTGGGACATGGGCATTTGTCGGGGTGATAAATTTGGGCTTGTCTTGGAGTGACTAAGTTGGATTTTCCTCCTGCCCCCCATGTCTGCTTCCATCTAGCAGTGGTATTGCATTCTGACCTTCAGCATTGGGTATGGACTTGGGGGCTGAAACTTTTAAGTATGTTCCAGTTGTTAGTGGTTCCCAAGAGGAACTGGGAGGTAAAGAGAAATGTGCTGGTTTTCAGATTTAAAAGGGACCCTGGAAAACTCAGAACCATGTAAAAAGACCCATACAAGTATCCATGGTGGTGAAATTTTAGAATATTGAGAATATGAAAAGGGAAATTTCAGTTTCAGCTAGAGGTTCTTGCCAGCATAAGAGGGCAAGAAGTAGAGGTAAAAGGCATACAAATTGGAAAGAAGTAAAATAATCTCTATTCATAGATGACATACTTGTGTATGTTGAAATTCCTAATGAATCCACAGCAACTTTAAAAATCCTGTTAGTAATGAGTTTATTAGCAAGATCATAGGATATAAGGTCAGTATATTAAAAATTACCATATTTCTATATACTAGCAATGAACAACTATAAATTGAAATTTTTTAAGTGCTATCCTTTATAATAGCATAAAAAACATGAAATACATACTTTGTTAAGTTTTTGGTTGGTTTTGTTTTTGTTTTTGCAAAAAAAGATCACTTGTAAGTGAGTAAGAATCAGATTCCATCTTATCTGTAACAGTGGATGTTAGAATATAATGGAGCAATATCTGAAGGTCTAAGAAAATTAGTTTTAATCTAGAAATACTTTTTCTAAAGAAATGACTCAAGAATATATTCTTAGAAAAATTAAAAGCGTAACTAAGAAAATGGAAAGGTACAAGAAATGGTGAACAAAATAATAAATTATTTAAGTCTAAAGATGAATAGGTCACATTGCCTATTAATTAATAGCTAAGAAAAAACCCTAGATAGTTGGAGGTTGTGGGGCTATGGAGGAAAGAGGGGAAAGAATGGTATAGTTCTTATTTGGGGGGAAGATGTACCTAGTACATACGGTCCCTGATGAATGCTTGTTGAATAAATACATCCTGGTTAATTCTAAACTAATAGAAAGAAGTAAGTTTGAACATTTTAAATGTCTCTGAAAGAATGGAAACAGGATGTTTATAAAATAAAGTTAATAAACTTAGATTACATCAAAAAAGATAACTACATCAATCTAACAAAGGTATTTTAGATGTTTTTTTTTGTTTTGAACTCGAAAATAAAGGCAAAAGTTACTTGCTTATTAATACAACCATGATCTTCGGTCAAGTTCAGATAAACAGATCTTCCATATGACAGTGCCTGCCCTATTGGTCATCACGCCACTGGGCAAATCAGAAAAGGGTGTGATGTGTTACTCTTTCCCAGGGTAGAGCCACAGTTACTGGTGGACACACCTCACTTGATGAGAGAGGAGCCCAAAGGCCAGGTGTCTGGACTCACCTGCAGTGTTTCATGTTTCTTGCAGATGTTCCCACAAGCCTGCACTTCCAGAGCATGCTGAAATCTCAGTGGCAGAGCAAGCCTTATGACAAAATCAAACCTCCCAAAAAGTTTTCACTTAAGCACAGAGCACCCATGCCAGGCAGTCTGCCAGATCCAACTCGTAAAGACAGGCACCAGCTGGTCAGCTCCTTTCTAACAACAGCCAGTAAGTTTCAGGGGACCGGGGAGTCCTCCAGTTATTTTTCTGTTCCTTTTATATTCTCAAGTTACTGGGGTCGGGAGAGGCAACGGACTGATAGAAGTTCAGCTCACAGTCTACTTTTTCTGCTTGTCTTTGATGAATTTCAAAAGCTATTTCAGACACCATGCGTCTTGGGGCAAGACCCAAAATGCACAGTGAGCAGCCATCAGTGGCATGGCCTGGGGTCCACCTGCGGTCAGGCTGTTTTCTGTAGCCTTGTGGCACTTTCTCTGTGGTACCGCTGTGGGGTCCCTGGCTGTCCTGGCCATTGTGCTGTTTGTTAGAAGCTTCAGTCCCTGGGGGGCTGCCCTGCTGCCCTGGGTATCTGTCACTGGCCTAGAGAGAACTCAAGAGCTTGGAACTCAAAAAAAGATTGAGAGAAGATACCTCACAGCTCTTTTTCTGTTCCCCTCTTCAGAGCTGTCCCATCACCAAACCCGGCCTGACAGGACCCACAGGCAGCACTTAGACGATGTGGGGGCCGTGCCTGTGGTGGAGCGAGTGACAGCGCCAAAAGCAGAGCGCTTGCTCAACCCACCGCCACCCGTGCACGACCCAAACCACAGCAAAATGAGATTGCGAGACCATTCATCTGAGAGAAGTGAAGGTAGGGCCAGGCCCGGCACCTCTACCTGCATTTGCACCTGCTGAAGGCTTCCTGGGGGCAGTCGGCTTCTCTTAATTGCCCACAGCTATGTCCTTCACTTTCTAGGAAGGCAGAGTAGAGGAACCCTACTGCTTCTAAATGCAGGACACTTCTTAATGCTGCAACAGCCTCTGCCCGGTCCCTATCTCCATTGACCAGTTTGCTTCATCTTTCTATCCTCTAGGCTTAGAAAGCATTTTTACTTTTACTGTGTATTGCTGGCCTTCCTAGCTTGCGCTAGAAGTAGAGCTGTCTGAGATAGCCATGTATTCCTCTCTTCTGTTGACCTCTGCAGTGTTGAAGCATCACACAGACATGAGCAGTTCGAGCTACCTGGCGGCCACCCACCATCCACCGCACAGTCCCTTGGTGCGACAGCTCTCCACCTCGTCAGACACCTCTACACCCAGCAGCTCCAGCCCACAGATTCCAGCCAGCACGTCTGTAAGTACCTGCAGGGAGTTGGGCTGGACGTCCCTATGCAGTTGTATCTTGGTCAGGTAACTGTAGCACAGCGTCTCCAGACGGCTGTGGAGGCCCAGGGTGGTTGTGCAGACTCAACACATCATGCTGTATGGTCATTTATTTTTAAGTCAAAGTGGTAGTATTTCACCTGTTCAGTTGTTTTCCTTGAGTTGCTTTTCGTAGTAGAGATGGAACTGTGCTAAGCCATCCTTAGGAAGCTTGATGGAGAGACAAACTCTTAAGGTGGTCTGTGACTATTCGAGATCAGTGGGACTCAGTTTCACACAGGACTCAACAATACCATGGCTCTAATCCTGTTGGTCCAAGAAGTAAACGTGAAAGGATGATAGAGGAGAGACACCTGTGGGCATTGGAGACATTTGGTTTCCTTTTCACTGTGTGGTGAGTGCGAGTCTGGATGGGAAGGGAGAAGGTGGAGCCCATGCTTTTTGGGTGTACAGAGCGGAGGTACAGGTCCAGCAGGCTGCCCGCCAGTACTTATGTGTAGTCCATTCACAATGGCAGGCTGTTTGACGCTCCGCCTCAGCTTTTACAGTGCCACACTCCATCCCAAAAGCTATTTGCACAGCCATTCCACACACACATTCCCATTAATTTCATTCTAATGTTTTAATTCCTTGGCGTGTGCTTCCTTGAACACATATACCTGTAGCTACTTTGTACCCACTGAAGGGTTCTTCATAAAGTAATTATAATAACAGTGGTGATAGTAATAATAAAATGCTGCAACTGTAATGTTTATTGTGTCAGTGCTAAGTGTTGTGCAATGTCATGCCATTCATTCCTGTAACACCCTCTGAGATGTAGGTGGTATTCAGGTTGCCCATTTGTAGGCAGTGAGACTTGAGGCTTTCCAAGGGTAAGTAAACTGCATGAAGCAGGCAGCTTGTGGGGGTTATAATTGTGATCCAGACCCAGGCAGCTCTTCAATCATTGCACCTCACCAGTGAGCCTGGGTTGGGGCACTGCAGAGGTGACTTAGGCAGGTGCTCTGAAATCCCTTCACAGTTTACATTAAGAAACATCTAAGCCCACAAAATGTGCTCAGCTAGCCTCCTGTGATCAGGTAGGAATTCACCTTGCTGTCTTTGCTCTTAAAAAAAATCAGGCATTGTTTTCCAAATGACCTCCTTGTTCTCCTTTTTTACCTCCCACACCCACAAATTTTCCCAACTAGGTGTGTAGTATCTATCACAAACTCAGTTACTCACCAGCAAAGGGTCTCAGGTAACCAAAGGATTTCACAGAGTTGAATTCTGATAGAAAATCTGAACTCTTGAGATCAGGACCTGGTGAGACTTCAGTATTTTCTCACCTGCCAGCCCTACTGTATCTGGAGAATGTTAACTTAGGCCTGTATCATTTGATATTTTTATGTATTACTTACTACATACAAACTGTGCATAACATTATGCTGACCCTTAAGGCTCTCGCTGGCAATTTTTTAAAAAGAATCCAGGTTCATTTAATAGAAGAGTAATAGGCCAGATACTTAAGGTAGAGAAACCGGAGGACACTGGAGAAATGGGAGGAGGGTGGTGTGGTGTGGTGCTACTTCACAAAAGCTGGTGGGTGCATCAGAAAGGGGGGCGGGGAGACACAGACTTTTTAAAGCACTCTTTATCTTGCTTCTGATGTGGGACCAGGTTTGGGAACCACTTTCCGTTCCCATCTCCTGCTCTCTACCTCTGACTCTAGAGCAGGAATAGTTAAGTTGGCCCAAATGAGTGCCTGATGGACCAGGGGCATCTGGGTGGAGGTGGAAGCTCGAGACCACCGAACAGTCCCACCACCCACTCCCAGCGCCTTCCCACGAAGGTACTAGCTGCATGCCCAAGAAGATGGAGGGAGAATAGACAGCTGTTTCCACCAGCCACATTAATTTTTAACCAAGTAAGAAAAGCTCTCTCTTGAGGCTTCTTTAAGGCACACTTCTTATAGTGGACATGGAGTTTCAGCAGAGATGTGGCACTGGCAGAGAGAGGCCTCAGTGCATGAGGTTACTTATCCTCAGCCACAGAACTCGCCAGGCCAGATTTGCAAAAGTTTCTCCAACCATTTTGGTTATTAACCAGTTATCTTAAATTTGTGAGGTCAGTGACAATATTTTCATTTGGTGGAGAAGGAAGGTGAGGTGGAAAGGGTACTGTGAAAAGCTCAAGTCACAGGTGACAGCAGCTAAAATCCTGGACAGGGAGCACTGCTTTTCAACATTCTGAGAATGTCCTGAAGTGATGGAATGAAGCAGCCACATTACCTTCAGAAACAAGAGTAGAGTGGTTGGTTGTAGGAAACAGCCTCCTCATCTTGCTTCATTAATCCCTCCCCTCTGGGTGGCCATACTTGATTTGGGTTTGAATAAAGCCTCACAGGTGTTGCCAGCCGGATTGTTGCCGTGGCAGCATGTGTGTCATCCCACTGTTACCCTCTGGCCTCTCACAGTTTGGTTGCCAGTCTGTTTCAGGATAGGGTGTTTGCTGTCTGGACACCAGCAGCTAGGGGACTTGTCCCCGCATGGAGGAAGCCAAGCCTTTTGGCTCCCTGCTTTATTCCTCTTCTGATCTTGCAGCCGCTGTAGATGCCGGCCCCTCCTATAAGGGATCCTTGTCTGGCTTCTCTCCCAAGAGTGTGATCTCAACTCCCTGTGGAAGCAGGACTGCTTTCTCCAGGACTGGGATCTGTTCGGCCAGGTCCTCTTCCTCAGTTTCCCTCCCCCATCTCCACTGATACAGCTAGAAAGCTCTCAGCTCTTTCCCTAAGAAGAATGATCAGAAAAAGGGGAAATCACCTAAGGGCTAAGCAGATGGTGAGTGCATATTTAGCTGAAGAGTTCAGATCTACCAGGAGGAGGCATTTTCATGGCAACCAATGTTAGATGAACTGTTGAGCTGGGCCTATCTTTGGGCATATTTCAGTGTAAGGAACTCGTCTTTTTAATCCAGAGCCACTGCTAGGCCTAAGCATTGCTTTTAGGAGCTACTGAGTCATAGACAAGGATAAAAACAGGAGCATTTAAAAGGTAGGGGGCAGTGAAAGTGTGTGTGGAAGAGTAGGAACCACACAGTAGTTTTCTCAAGGCCCCAGGGTACCTGCCCCTGTAAAATTACACAGAAGTCTGTCCACTTGAGCCCATGAAGGGATGAGGTGGCCAGTGAGGCTTATGACCAGGTTACTACTCTTCAGGGCCTCCTGGCATTCCTCCTGAGTACTTCGTCGTTGGGGAGCACCTCCTCATGCGCTGCGCTGTGCCCCCCCTGCTGCCCAGTCCCCACCCAGGGACCCAGGGCCAGGTTATGGTGACCCTGTTTTATGATTTGATGTTTGTATAATTGTGCCTCCCTTTTAAATTTGCCTTTGTCTTACAGCAGCCGGTAAGGAGGAGAAGGGGAGAGAGTTCATTCGATATTAACAACATTGTCATCCCGATGTCTGTTGCTGCAACAACCCGTGTAGAGAAACTACAGTACAAGGAAATCCTAACTCCCAGGTAGAGACCGAAATAATCCTCCCCTCTCCCTTTCTCCCTGTTAGTCCTTTCTCCCTCTTCTATCACTGAGCTTTGAGCCTTAGACTCAGGTTCTGTCTGCTCTGTAAGAGAAGGTCTTGCCTGTTAGGAGTGAAATTATTTCTGTATAGAATTCTCATTCCATTATATGAGCACCATCTAGACCATAGGTCAGACTGGCTATAGACATGTTTTGTTTGACACATAAAATGTGTTATAAAATACCAAACTTGTGAGTATCAAAGCAGAATTTCACATATTTCCACCTTGGTTGACAAATTGGAAGATGGGCCAGCCCTGTATGAGCACTTCCACCCGGTAGCAGTCAGCTCAAGAGTGCTGGTCCCTCTGAGTTTGTCATAGTCTCCCCTCCTGCTTCCCCTGTTTCTGGCCCTTGAAGGCATTTGAGTGTAGGGCCTCTTTGAATGGCCTGCGGGGCTCCTCTTCTTGCACGAACGCATGTATCCTGCCCCAGGCTGCCTGCCTGCTCATGATGCCCCTTCTTGGTTTTGCAGCTGGCGAGAGGTCGATCTTCAGTCTTTGAAGGGGAATCCTGAGGAGGAGAATGAGGAGGTAACTGCATGGCCATTCTTTCTTAGAAGAACACATGTACACACTCCAGATGCCTCAAGATCTGTGGGTGTCAAGGGCAAGCTCATTGTATTGTCCCACCTGAGAAGAACCTAGTATGGGGTGGGACTGCTTCTATAACTGGTCTGCCCATAATTACCCTTGGCTTCTGGAGGAAAGAGGGCATCAATGAAGCTGCTCTGTTGCAGATTGAAGACCTATCTGATGCAGCCTTTGCCACCCTGCATGCCAAATGTGAGGAGATGGAGAGGGCTCGGTGGCTGTGGACAACGAGTGTGCCACCCCAGCGGCGGGGCAGCAGGTGATGGGGCAGGCACAGGTTCCAGGGCCCGTGGAGGGAGGGTGGAAGGGGAGTTTGGGTTCTAGCTGTGCCCATGGAATTGCCACTGTCTCTCTGTTGCTCTTCATATTCATGTGCTGGCAGTGGCTGGGAATGCAGTTTCCTTTGTGCTCCTTGGAATAAAAGGGGGTGCAAGCAGTTGGATGCTGGGTCCTTGCTGAGTGGTTGGTTACTGTCCAGTTCTGACAAACTCCAGTACAATCTCATGGGCTCCAGGAGCAGGCTGTCTATGGTGTTTGGAGGCCTCACCATCAGTTAACTTTCCCTCAGACAGTGGAGTGTGTTTTTGTCATCCCTCTTCAAAGAACTGTCCCACCCTACCTGTTGGTTGCGAACAGTGGCAGAAAGCCTCAGGATTCTCAAGTAGAAAGATTTAGGGCTCTTAATCTAAAGTAGTGTGTTTTAGGGCTTTTTTCTTTGACTATAGTTTTCAAAGTCTGCACGAATTCCCTTCCCCTGTGAATTCACAGGACACCTTTCTCTTGGAATGATAGGGGTGCACCACTCTTAAATGGCATATAGTGTACCTACCTGTGTACCTAGCAGTGGGAGGAAATGAAGGGGGTTCATAGTTCGCAGGAAAGAACCATAGGTGCCAGTCCCTTGGTCCTCCAGTTGGGATGCTTTTTCGTGCTTTCTCACCAGCCCCCCGAAACAAACATACAAGAAACCCCCTGTTATACAGGCCCTCACGTTTGCACTCCTTGGTGTTCAGGTCCTATAGGTCATCAGACGGCCGGACAACACCCCAGCTGGGCAGTGCCAACCCCTCCACCCCTCAGCCCGCCTCCCCCGATGTCAGCAGCGGCCACTCTTTGTCAGAGTTCTCCCATGGTCAGTCCCCTAGGAGCCCCATTAGCCCGGAACTGCACTCGGCCCCCCTCACGCCTGTGGCGCGGGACGCTCTACGGCACCTCACCAGTGAAGACACCCGGTGTTCCACCCCAGAGCTGGGGCTGGATGAACAGGTGAGGGGTGCTGCCTTTGTGAGGCGGGTTGGCAGGGTGAGGGATGAGTCTGGGAAGGGAGATACCTGCTGAAGGTGGATCTTGATCTTATGACACTCCTCCCCGTTTTGAAGGGGACAAGGAGTGCCCTTGAAATTGACCTTCTGAAGGTATCATGGAACTGGCCATTGTTCGAAGAGTGCCCGCTCTGGGAGGGGTCTTCCCCATCCACCCCAGGAACTGTAGAGAGACTGGTCATGGACTCCAGTCCACACATTTTGGGACAAAGCCTTGGGGCAGGAGGCAGGCTGGGACGGGGTCCTCACCCCTTGTCTGCCCACAGTCTGTCCAGCCATGGGAGCGGCGAACCTTTCCGCTGGCGTACAGCCCCCAGGCAGAGTGTGAGGACCAGCTGGATGCACAGGAACGGGCGGCCCGCTGCACTCGGCGCACCTCAGGTGGCAAGACTGGCCGGGAGACAGAGGTGGCACCCACCTCACCTCCCGTTGTCCCTGTCAAGAGTCGGCATCTGGCGACACCAGTCACAGCTCAGCGTCCAGCTCACAGATGAGCAGGACAGGAGAATCTAAACAGACTCACTAACTATTGGCATTAAAGCTTCAGAAATCTCTGCGTTTGATATTCAAACATCATATGCTGGAAATTTTCACAGTTTTTAGTGAATTTAAGGAATTTAGATTCTACTTTGGTATTTTTTTTCTTGTTTTGATTTTTGTTTTGTTTGGTTTCCATGTTTGTTGTCACACACCTGAGCACTTCTCCAGTCGGCAAATGGAAGGTCAGGATAAGACCCTGCTGGCCTGGCCCTGCACATCCACTGCACTGTTGAATCACTGGACTCCGTGATGCTAGATGGTCACCCCTCCCTCACTGTGGGCAGGGTGGGGCAGCCAAGTGGGCAGAGAGCACGGAAGCTCCGGCTCAGTGTTGCCGCCTTCGGTCAGGGTGGGCAAGAGCAGCAGGCTCTAGGCTCTTGCCCCTCCCTCTCCTCCTGCCTGTGCCTGGCTTCCCCTGGGCCAGCTGTGCTGGAACCCCCCGCCCCCAGCCCCAGCCCGCAGCCCCTTCTCACTGAGCGCTCAGCCCACAGAGTGACTTGCCCTCGTTATCCAGATCTTGGAGCCCGACTTTGGGTTTCCTCTGCATGTGGTCACCTCTGTTGTGACTCCTCCTCAACTGCAGTAACCTGGCTGCAGCTGCTCAGGCCCCCGTTCTGCCCCTCCGTGCCCTCTTGTCTGCTCCCCCATGCTCATCCACACACACACACACACACACACACACACAAACCAGTCCTTCCACTCAGTCCTTCTCACCACCTAGTCACTGTTAGGACTACTTAACCTCTCTTACACTCCTCTGCAAACTAGGGGGCTGGGGAAATGAGCAGCCGTCTCCCCTGTGTAATTCTGTTCTCACTGACAGATCCCTTCGTCACGTTCTTCCCCACCGGCTCCCCGTCGGTGCCCGGCCCTTCCCTTCGGGCGCCCTTGCCTGTGGAGCGCTGTCTGCTCCTGGCTGGGGGTCCGCGCCTCTCCCCCTTACCCACCCCTTGGCTCACCTCGTGCCTGTCTCATGTATGATCACAGCACCAAAAAGGGGGGGCAATAAGGACTTCTTTGTTTTATTTTATTTTTTGCCATTTTGTAATCGTATAAAAATAGTAGACAAACTGCTTAATGGTTGGGGTTTTTTCACAATTTTCAACATTAGTGATTTTTTTGATTCTGTTTGCAAGTTAAAGGGTTTGTCATTGTTTCTTTTTAAAAACAATAATGCACCATATCCCTATGCATAAAAGTGCTTCTTCTATTTATAAGGTTGAAAATTCTGAATAACCCTTTTAGCATTGTTAAAAAAACAAAAACAAAAATGGAAAAAAAACCTTGTATTTTGTAAATATTTTCTTTTCCTGCTTTGAGCTGTGTATTGGCAGCGAAACATGTAGCTGTCTTTGTTCTATAGAAATGCTTTTCTTCAGAGAAGCTGATCTTTGTTAATGTCTTGATTCTGTTCGCACAGCACAGACTAGTGCTTAAAAAAAAAAAGGAAGGAAAAAGTGAAAAAAATAATAAAAAAAAAGTTACAGAATGTTGTGTGCCAGGCCTTTCTTGACATTGCCCACAGTAGTGGTGGCAGCTTAGGAGCCAGCCCTCCTGGTGCAGTTCTCTGACTTGCTCTGAACCTTGGGAGGGCGCCATTCTGTCTTAACGGACACCTGGCAGGGCCATTTGATGGTCACCGGGACGGGATGTATTTGTTTCCATGAGTGGGCGAGGCATGGGGGTGCCAGGAGGACAGGGGAGTCTGTGTAGATCTGGTTTTTATTTTTGTTGGGTGTAATGGATCCATTGCCTCTTGATGTCCTTTCTCTAGTAAGGCCACCAGTATGACATTTTAGCTCTATTCTAAATTGCCCTAGAGATTTCATGACATTGGCCCTTTCCGGGTGAGGGGTCAGTGAGACTGAATGTACTTTGCATGAAGCCTGAGCTTGTTCTCACCTGCTCCCTGAGGCGGTAGCATCTTTCTGCTGAAGAGGCTAAGTGCTTGATTTTCTATGTACAAGATAAGTGTAAGGGCCTGGTTCTCCCTTTACTTTCTTTCTTTTCCATGGCAGTCAAGGTTATAAAGCCAAAAAGGCTGCCCGTCCTGACTGTGAGAGCCCCACGTCCTGCGGCAGCCCTTCTGTTTGGCTGCCTGTTGCTGCTGGTATAGTTGCAGTGAAGATCTGCTCTACTTAAGCTGCTGTCTTCAGTGGCTAGAACACAACTGGGGAAGCTGAGTAAAGTATTGTGAAGTTCTGTGTGAAAATATAAGGGTTCATTGTTATGACCTTGACCTAATAATTAGTAAGGAACAAAAATTGACATGATGGGTTACTGGGTTCTTTGTTGTTTTCCTACAGATCTTGATTTAGTGGACACATTCCCTAATCCAATCCGTAACAAGGCTCCAGAAGAGAGGGAGACAGCACTCAAGCCTGGAAGGAGATCTAAGCCATTTATTTAGCTGATTGGCCTCAGGTCCTGCCTCAGCCCCAGGCCTCCAGGCTAATTTCCAGGGACAAAAAAAGCTCATATACCCACCACAGTCTTCTCAGGTTTGAATAACATACACTGGTACGGGTCTTGAAAACTCTTGAGCCGCAGCTTTGAGAGTTCAGCCACAAGGAAATTGTCCTTGCAGATGGACTAGCTTGGTTTATGAGCGCCAGAATGAGAGAAATAACTGAAAATGAACAGCCAGACAACTATTTTCACCTTCAGGGCCCCAGAGAAAGCTGGTAAATCCTGATATCCAGGTTTTAACATTATCCTTTCTTATTCTGAGCTAAGTGCTGTAAGGCTGGGAAAGGACTTGCAAATCATATACATACGTCCTATATAATTTTCTTGTCCTTTGAATCCATGCAGAGAGACCTTATTTAACCAGTAATAACTTTATTTCCAAATTCACTTTTACAGCAACAGTCAGTGTAAATCATTTGTTAAAACACACAATACACCATATGGACATTCACAGACAGGAAGCTAAGCTAAGATGGTTTCATGTCCCTCCCCCCACCCACAAAATTACTGAAGAAATCATGGGACTTGCAAGTGCCAGAAATGGTCCTGTTTAACACTGCAAATGCACGGGGCTAAGTCCATTAGGAGCTGGGACTCCGGGTCAGTGCCCAGGGTAACCCTTCTCAAAGCTGAAGAGAAACCGGAATTTTGAAGCCACCCATCTGCAGATGGGACAAGTTGATGATCTCTGCCTCTGCCTTCATCCCAGCTCTTGGCTTTACTTGAGGGACAAAGCTATAAAGAGTGATGGGAGAGATCCTGACAGGCTGCATATCCAAAGCTGGTGAGAAAGTGCCAGTGGCTTAGAGGAGGTGCTGGGTTGGGAACCCTGCAGGAGAGCAGCGGGCCAGAGCAAGCTTCTCTCCAGATTCTTCCACAAGCTCACTGCGTGCACCTGCCTGGGAGGGAGACGGAACTGCCTGGCAGCCTGCTGGACCTGGGCAACCTGTCGGGTGGAAAGGTGAGACCCCGAGGACCTTTAGCGAATGCGGAGGCCTGAAAGGGTTGCACGGCAGTGAACTGCCGCCTCCCGGACCTCCCTTTGGCTGTGGTTAGTATTTCACAGGTTCCTCCCCCCTCCCCCCTGCAGCACGACAGGCAAATCTCAAAGGGTACAGTCTCACCATACAAGTCAGCTTAAATGGAGCTATTGATAAAGTGAGGGGAGAGCTTGAAGGAACCAGGAGGGTGCACATCCTCTCCAGCTCATCCAGGGGTAGGGAAGTGCCCAGCTCGGAGGAGGGGATTGTCCTCATTTAAGGTCACGGGCCAGCATCCCTTTGCAATCTCCCTGCCAGCACAGACTTAACCACCCTAAACAATGATCTTTAGGCTCATCCCCAAATCTCACCCACAGGGAGGGAGAGTCCAGAGCCCTCAGAGGAGATGCTGGAGAGCAGGGCCCAGGACTGGGAGTAACGACAAGAAATGGAGCCCAGATTGGGGCAATAATGAGGGAGCACATCTCCAACAGCTACCAAATCTTTACCCCCACATCTTTTTCTTCCTCAGAACCCTTCTAAGAACAGCTGGGACTTAAAGCAGTGGGGAACCTCACAATGGAAAGTTCTGGGCCCGGATGATTCCTTGAATGGGAAGCTCTAGCTGCAAATGAAGCTTCCAGCCTAGACAGGAGGTCCAGGCCTCTACCACCAACCCCCAGTGTTGGCTTGAATTGAACCCAAACCAGAAGTGGCAGGACTGGGCCTAAGGTTGCTGAATTTCTTTAAGCAGCAATTTTCCACAAAGGCTGCTTCCTGTTCCCTGTGGCAGCAAACAGGCCTGGTGCGAGCTCAGCCGGTGCCCTGGCCATGGCTGTCAGAATGGTGTCTCCTGACTTGTCACCCTGTTGGGCAGCTTGGGCCCCTGGGGCCCATCCAAGGGCAGGCAGTCCATCCCCACCCCTTGGTGGGAGGCATAGGCTGCCCTTTGTGAGGAAGGGCTTGGAGAAGGACCCCAGGCAGAGGGATGGACCGCAGCCCTCCCCCTGGCGGCGCTGGCTTCATTTCTCTGGTGTTGCAGGGAGTCATGAGGCTCTGTCAAGGCTGCCATGGGCTTCTCCAGGCTGTGATCAGAGAGGGCCGGCCACACAACAGCACACGGCTCTCTGCCCTGACCAAGCCCTGACCAAGGGATGACGCTCTGGGCTTCAGGGAGGGGGCACCACAGCTTCTGTCCTAGCCCTGTGCTTCAGGCCTTCTTTGCAACTGAGGGTTCTCAGATGTCAGAATCTGGTCTCTGTTGGGTCCCAGATGGTGATGAAAGCCCTTCAAAAATTGGGAGGCCCCAACAGGGCAGAGCCACATGGGCCCCTTGGAGCCAAGTCCCAGTGCGGGGTGGGGGGATGGAGGGGGAACATCTAGGACCCCCACAAGGGTCAGAAACCTCTTTACAAGCATTTCAAGGTACATGCGTCCTTTTTTTTTTTTTCTTTTCACTATCATAGTCACTCTGGTGAATCCAAGCATGAACAGACAAAGCCGACTACAACGCGACAGGGTGTGGATAGGGAGGGAAAGGCGACATCTATGTATATGTTCAGCTGCTCCAGCGGGACAGACAGCACGGCTCCCAGCTGGGATGGGGAAGAACCATTTCCGAGGGGTGTGTACCCCCTCCGGGGGTGTGGAGGGCTGGTCATATGCACTTGGGGCAGAGCAGCGGCTGGGCCCTCTGGAGGGCTGGCAGTCAGAAGCTGAGGCAGAAGTGGGGGACACAGGGACTGCCCTGGGGGCATCTCTGGCAACCAGGACAGCTAGCCTGCTGCCAGCGACACAGGAAGGGAGCAGGCCTGGGAGGGAAACTAAGTTGACAAGGCAGAAACATCCTAGGTTACTGCCAAGCCCCACCCTGAGTCACATCTGTGCCGGGAGGTAGGGGACAGTGAACCCAGTAAGTCCTCAGGTTCATTGTGAGGGATGCACCAGCTGAATGAGTGTAACTCAGACGGGAGACAGAAGTCCCGCCTGGGCTGGCATCACCTTCCCTCAGCAGCACCACTACCTTTAGGGCAGGTGCCTCTGTCTCTAAACAAAGTCCATGACAGAAGGGGGAGGGCTGAGGCTCGGAACTTGGGACTGTGACGTAATGAGGGGCACCGGCAGTGACTGGCCTGGCGGGGGTAGACAGGTGGCTGCAGTGGCTGTGGGAGGGTCGAGAGGCTCAGGACCCACCTCCCAGACTCCCACCCACTCCAGAGGCCCAGGCTCGGGAACAGGCAGACAGACGCCCCCCAGGAGGCACAAGTCCTTGCAAAGAGAACTCGTTAGTGGTGAGGTGGCCAAAGTCGTGGCTGTAGTTCCAACCTTCAGAACTCAGTAAAATAGGGTTTCCGCGGGGCAGAGGAAAGCCCCTTAGCTCAGGACCCCCACCCTGCAGGGAGGCAGAAAGAGTCCAGTGCCCAAGACAAGGTCAGTCTTCTCTGAGGAAGTCATCCAAAGGGTGCCACCCTCCTGCCAACCACCATCCTCCTCCTGCCCACCGCCCTTGAGCAGTGTGGGAGGGGCCGGAGCCCTTCTCCCACCGGCTGCCCTCCAGAAGGGGGCACACCTACCGCAGCCGGCCGCAGGCCACCAAGGACAGAAGGCCCCGAGCTCCGAGCTTGCTGCAGGCGCCGGGCTGCTTGCCTCTCCAGGCAGGGAGCAGCAGCTCCCCGGGCCCCACCCCTGCCTGCCTCCGCCCCTCCTGTGCCTCTCCCCTCCCGACCCCAGCCCACTCACACAGGTTGGCATCTGCCTGTGGCCCCAAAAACGCACCGTGTTTCAAATCCTTTTTTGCTGCCGCTGCCGCTGCCTCTGTGACACCCCCAGGATGGGGCCAAACAGGGGTGCCCCCAATCCCTTAAGAGTCCCTCAGAAGCAGCTTTCTGAGCCTCCTTCTCCCTCTTCTACTCAGGGGGTGGGGAAGAATCAAAAGTAGTTGCCCAAGGAAATGTTGGGTGTGGCCACCTTTTCAAATGTTTTTAAAAATATTTTATTAGTAGTAGCCCACCCATCAATTTGGAAAGATGAAATTTGCTCTTACTCCCATCACTGATTTTGAAGTCCCAAGCCAGGGCCGAGCAACAAAAAGCAGGTTAAGTGATTAACCAATTAACCGATCTGTGAGGAGCAGCTGGGGGAGGGCAGAGGGCGAAGGGCCAGACCATTTTTCTTTTTTATCCCACACTCTCTCTTCTCTCCACGATTACCGACCGCCCCAGGGGCCTGATCACAAACCCTGCTTGGCCAGGGAGGCGGACACTTCGTCGGCCAGTGTGGCGAGCTGGGGCGAGTCGACCATGTCGATGCTGCCCGTGGAGGAGACGTTGCTGAGGTGCCGCGGAGACGTGTCCCCAGACACCACAGGCGACTTGTACACGATCTCCGCCCCGTGGTCTGTCTTGGCTTTGGCATTCTCACGGAAGGTCAGCTTGTGGGTTTCAATCTGTAAGAGACGAGGGGAGGGAACATGAGACGCAGAGCCAGAGAAAGGGGGGCAAACCCTGCCAGCCAGCACCATGGCGGGAGGAGGCTGTAGGTGGCCGTGACTTTTGCATCATTTTCCAGTGGCAAATTTTGTGCAGGGTTCTTCCGACACCTGGCAGCAAGCCACCCAGTACCCCTCCCCAGAGCAGTGACCATTGTAAGTTTCTGGTGTACCCTTCCAGAGATGTTCCGTACATATGCAAACGTGTCTGTGTGAATATATCAAATATATATAATGTATTATCTATATTAATAATATGGCAACAATATCCATAGGCTTTTGCACTTGGTTCTCAGATTTACAGCCTCCCCTGAGGAGTACCCAGGTCCCGTGTGCTTTCTGATGCTTGTATGGTACCCAGTCGTAGCAGCCGCACCAACATTTATCTATTCCCCCACGCAGGGATGTTTATTTAGGTCCTGTCAGTCTTTGGGTGTCACTAACAGTGCTGTGTATGAATAACCCTGATAACCTTGTGTGCACATCATGACACATGTGTAAGTGGACCCTGGAAGTGGGGTTGCTGTGAGGAGCTGGAGAGCGCTAGGCCATCCGGGGGCCAGAACCCCACCCTCCCTCAGCTTTTATGGGGCTCTGCCACAGTCAGGCCTGTCCTGAGGTCTCTGCATGCGCCCTCTGTCTTAAGCCCACACCTGCAAGTGTGTCTCCGAGGCGGTACTGCCAGGCTTTCACTGCAAATGTATGATGCGGCATCTGTCGCTCAGAATCAGAGGAGTGTATGGAAGGAGGTGCAGTGATGTGCCGTGAGGACCCCTAGCTGCCACTGAGCATCACGTGGTGGAAAGATGGCTGCCACGTCCAACTTGCCAGGCCACCTGGGGCCATGCCCTTTCTCACTCAGAGCTGGGTCTCAGATACTAGGCCTATTCTAGAACATCCTTCTCCTTCCGCTGCTCCTCAGTTGGCTGCTGGAAGGCTCTAAAGACAAAAGCGAGCTGCTTGCCGAGCTTAAGGGCCAGCGTGGTGGTGACCCCAGAGGGTGCATGTGCTGCATTTCTGCAGCGGAGAAGGGGTGCAGCCACAAGACCCAGTGCCGGGACGGGCACAGAGGGTGCTGGCTCGGACCACACACACACGCTGCCCCTTCCTTGAGCTCACACATCCTCACCCACAGCAAGACCTTAAGTCTCTAGAAACAGCCAGGAATGCCAGGGTCCTTAGTGCCACAGCCTCCCGCGGGCACTCATGACAGGTAGGCAGAGGCACAGCTGAAATCTGGATTCCAGCATCATTGCTTTGCTCTGCCTGTGACCCATTTAGAAAATGGGGTTATGTGCCCATGACTTGTTCATGGTGCACTGGCCTGCTACTACGTTTTGTGGATGCTCACCAACCCCAGGGCCTAGGACAGTGGCTCTCACCTCTGACTGCCCTAAAGAATCACAGAGAGGCTTTAAAAACTCCAGGTGCCTGGACTGTACCTCAGACCCATTGCAGTTGGCTCTTGAACAATACAGGTGTGATCCCCAAGGGTCCACTTATAACTGGACTTGTTTTTAATAAATATATTGGAAAAGTTTTTTGGAGGGTCACAACAATTTGAAAAAAACTTCCTTTTCTCTGCGAACTCACAGGGTATGATTTCAGGTCAACAGTGGGCTAAATTTTGGGGGGAGTCAAACATTACATGCAGATTTTCAATTGGGTGTCTGTGCCCCTAATCTCTGCAATGTTCAAGGGTCAATTGTAGTTAGAATCTCCTGGGTGGGATCCCAGTCATCAAATTTCTTAAAGCTCCCAGGTGACTGCAATGGGCATCTAAGGTCGAGACCCACAGTCCTGGTAGTTGCTGAGAGTCCACATCAAGCAGCCAATACGGGATCCTCAGTTTTCCTTCTCTGAAAAGCTGGACCGCTTGCCCACTTGACTCCATTAACAGCCATATCCAAGTGCATATCCTCCCCACCCGGCCCCTTTTACCTTTTTATTCCCTCCACCAGGGACGTGGGTGATATTATCCAGGGACCCGATCTTCGACTGGACTCTATCCTTGAAGTCCAGCTTCTCAGATTTTACTTCCACCTGACCACCTCCTGGAAAACAACACACACAAGAGCACCGTGCCTTGGATGGGGGCTAAGCTAGCGATTCCAAGCAGACACCAACCTTTTGGAGCAGGTAAGACTATCCTTTATTTAGAGTGTGGTTTGGGCACAAATAAGTCCCTCCAAAGGGCTTGAAAACAGTATGCTTTCACCATGATTGATGCACAATCAAGGTGTGCATCAAATATTTACTCAGCAGACTCGCCCTCCTTAGATAATGCAAAGGTAAATGACAGCACAGTTCAGGATAAATTATTCTAAATTCTAAATTGGTTGGCTTCCAAAGGGCCAAAGAATGAAGTCTTTCTAGTCAACATCCTATAAGCTGCAGCCCTATAAGCCCTTAAACTAAATGGCAAAATGCACCCTAAACAAGGGTGGGGCCTGACTTCCCTCCCCACTCGGACACTAGGCGCCTTGCTGAACCACGGGGTACATGGCTTGAGGAGGACATGAGCTCCATTACTTTCTTGGGAAGCGTAAAGTCACCCGAGAAAGCTGCACAGTGGGATCATGTTACCAATTGAGGGGTGGTTCTCCCCCCACAGGAATGGTTCAAATAAAGATCTCTGCCCTGAACAGGGCCTAAGGCAGAAGCTCCTGTTCTGGGCCCCAGATCCAGAATCCAGACCGGCACTGTCCAATAAGGTGGACAGCCAGATGTGGTTCTTATATTTTAATTAAATAAAATTAGTTCAGTTCATCCACTGCACGAGCCACAAGTGCTCGACAGCCACATGTAGTTAGGGGCTACCATGCTGGACAGAAATACAGAACAGTCCCACTGCTGCAGAAAGATCTATAGACAGCACTGATTTCTGTACAGTGTGGGATGGGGAGGGAGAGGGTAAGCACAGTAGGACTCCAATAGTATCTTCTGTTGAGACAAAGTCAAAGCAGGAGCATGTTGATGGCCCAGGGGTCCCATGTCATAGCTGCTACAGTTGGTGAAGTGGTCCCCATGTTGGCTGGGGACCAAACTGGGACATCCACAAGCCAGCCTTCAGGGGCCAGATCAGGCCCTTCCTCAGCCCTCAAGGCCATGTGTGCAGCCCTCTTGGAGAACCACGGGTTAGGGTTTAGGACCAGCATTTGTCCCCCATCCTGACCTTGACTGGCTCCATGGACCTGCTCAAGAGTGAGACAGGGCAGCCACACCTCATGGGCCCCAGCAAGTGCCACCCTCCATACCCTCCTTGGTGGCCCATCCCACCAATCCCTCCCAGCCATTTCTGGAGAAGGCAACACCCAGTCCTGTCCTGTCCCCACCCAGACCTTCCCACTCCGTCCTCGCCTTCTACAAGGGCTACCTGGCTTATGGTGGATGTTGCCTAATGAGCCACACTTGGAGGTCACCTTGCTCAGGTCCACTGGTTTGTAGACTATTTGCACCTACAGGTGAGAGAGGATGAGCAGGATAGAGACAAAGAGAATAAAATAGGAGTGTTTTATCATGAGTGCAACACAGTGAAAAGCAGCTGTACAGGTCCAGGCCCTGCTGGACAGTGTTTCCTGTCTGCTGAGAGGAACACACCCCAGTCATGGTGGAAAATGTGTTGTTGGAATTCTGCCAACCTTGCCCCAAGAGAGCTGGGTCTTCACAAAATAACTGGGACTAGAGTGCTTTAAATCCCTCAGGGACTATAGGGATACTGTGTCATTGTGCAGGGCCATTTGTGTAGCGAACACATGTCAAAAAGCCACTCACTTTCCTGACTTGAAACTCACAGGTCACACTCAGTGAGGACATAAAGAAGGGATCAATATGATCCTTCTGTGCAGCATTTCAGAAATCTCATTGGAAAAGCAAGAAAACTATCTGCTATGCCTCAGAAAGGAGAGGGTGGGTGGGCTTCCTCCCAGAAGCTTCCACAGATCCAGTGCCCCCACAGCAAGAGCAGTGACAGTCACCAAGCAGGACCCAGAGCAGTTGGTTACTCAGTGGTAAGAGCCAGCTGGCACCTGGGCGCACAGCATCCCGGACATTTCGGTTCTTTACCGAAAGGTGCAAAGCGACATCAGCAGGAGGGGCAGGCGGCACAGCAGGAGCCACAGATAATGTAGTGTCTCGTGGAGCTGGACTGCTGGGACACGCACAGCCGGGGGAGGCCTCGGGGCTCCAGGACGCAGACTCGCCTGCATGTGGCCAGCCCGAGCTGCCCTCTGATCGCAGCCCAAGTACCAGCGCCCGAGAGGGGGCTCCCCCGCGGGGACCCCGCATCAGCGGAGGGTCTCCTTTTGGAAGTGTCCACGAAGCTATGGCTGTGAGGGGGTCCCTGCGTGGTCACCGCGCGACACCTCCCAAGGCCTCCAGCAGGGCCCTCATCTGAGGGGGAAGGCGGCCAGTCAGCGCCCACTCGGAGTGACCCGCAGAGCGATGGCCTCGTGTCTGAGAACGGGTTTAACAAGGACCCCGGGAAAAAATGGGTTTCTACTCGGCTCTCAGCCTTCTGGAACAATGCCAAATTATTTTAGTTAATGAAAATCGTGTTGATATTTGCCGCTTATTGACGGAGAGTTGACTGAGGCTGACGGGGGGACACGGCCTGCGTGCGTCAGTGCGGAGGACGAGGTGTGGGAGCCCACGGTGCAGCCGGCCCCCGCGGGACAGCGCGCGCCCTGGGGTGGGGCGCTGGGGAGGCAGGCCGGGGCGGTGCAGCTCCGCCGGCAGGAGGGCGGGGCCGTGGGAGGGGCCACGCGGACCCGGGTGTGGGCGGGGCCGCACGGGGCGGGGCCGTGCGTGCGGCCGGCCCACGGCTTCCTTCCCTCCCTTCTCTTCACAAGGTAGCTTGTGAGAGCGGAGGAGGTTGTGGTTGTGGAGAAGGCGAGACCTAGAATGGCAGAGGGGAAAGAAGGGGTGAGGGTGGGAGCCAGGGCGGGGCTCAAGAGGACCGGAGGTCAGGGGAAGGGAGCGGCAGGCCCAGGAGAGGGGCCAGAGATGGAGGAAGAGCAGGAGGGCCTGCCTGCTGGAAAGTCACCTCCAGATTGCGGAGAGAAGGGCGCAGGAGGAGGCCGAGCCCAGGCCTGGGGTCCAGTGTCCCCCAAACACCTGAGGCTGGCGTGGTACAGGTGCTTGTAAGCCTCCTGCCTTCCGGAGAAGAGCTTTCTGTGAGGGCTGCTGCTGCTGCAAGCAAGCAGTAGCCATGAGCCAAGGACGAAGCTCAGGGCTGGCCCAGGATATCCTGTGGCTCTTTGCCAGGTCGGAGGCCAGCCCACAGGCCGGCAGAGAGTGCAGGACAGATTGAAGACGCCCCCAAGGAAGTCCCTTGATATCCTGCCATCAGCAGTGCGACTGTACTCTCTCCTCTCCACTTTGGCTGGAAGGAGCTGTCTGCTGTTTGTAGCCCGCTGCACCTCAAGGCCCTGGCCTCAGCAGCACAACCTTCCACCAGCAGACCAGACACAAGCTAAACCGGAAAGCACCTGGCCTTCCTCCTCTGGCCAGAGCCCAGTGTCCACAATAAAGCCAGAGAACCAGAGTCAAAGCTAAAACAACAACCAGCACTCGGAGCCCATGACACAGGGGCAGGGATGATGCCACACCTTCTTTCCTTCTCATGCCAGAAGACAAGGTGGCAGTGGAACAGGAGAGCAGGGGCTGGGGCACAGAGGAGATACTGAGCAGACACTGGTGAGGAAGCATTAGTGAAGCGCCATGCAGCAGCCAGGGCTGAGTGCCCGCTGCTCCAGCAGAGCCAGGACCCAGGTGCTCAGGGCAGGAGGCAGCAGACTGAACACTGCAGATGATGGGCATTTCTGGAGAGCAAGCCCACCTGGGACTACCCATGCCACCCTGGTGCTGCCAGCTGGGAGCAGATGCCTGCCTTCTGAAACACGCCCCCCGCCAGGGGTGGACCTCCCGCAGGTCTTGAACCTCCACTCCCCAGTGTGTTGAAACATTTGCTTCCAGCTAACCCAGAGAGGTGGGGAGGGAGGAGGAGGCTGCAGAGAAGGGGAGCCGAATCTCAGGACGCTGGGTTTGCATCCACGAACCATGAACTTAGAGTAGCGGGAGAACAGCAGAGTTGACCAAGTGGGTAGGTGAGCAGAGAGCATGCCAGGCCCAAATCTCAGAGCTATATCCACTGGGGATGCAAGGAGTCTCCAGGAACATTTGGAGGAAGCCAAATGTAAAAGGGCCCAATGCAGCATTTCTTTGTCAACCCTCAACTTGGGGAGGGGAAGGCCCCTGAGGCACTTCTGCTGGGCACTTCTGCATCTGGAGCTTCTGCCAGTGAAGGAGCTGGTTGTAAACGTGAGCCGGGGCTCATACCTTGAAAGTGCAGAAAACAAGTGAAAGCAGAGACTGGACAGTTAAAGACCTTTGTGTTGGCTGGTCACAACAAACAGGCTGTCTGTCTGTAGAGGAGTCCCTCAAAGTGAACCTGCCCAGGGAACAGGGGGAGAGGTGACAGCCCAGTCTCAGGTGCCTCCACCTTCAGCCCACCTCAGGCCGTTGGGCTTGTGGAGCCCTACTGGGCAGTGAGTGGAGTGGCCTGTGGTTACTGGGCATCAGAGAAAGGATCAGTCATCTTCCCCATTCTGCCTGCACAGGCTGGGGACCTAGAGATCCTGGAGCATGTCTCCCAGAATGGTGGGCACAGGTGTGGGGAGCCAGGGACACGGATAGCCCCCGGGGCTGAGGATGCTTTATTCCATGCAGTGTCTTGCAAGTGTAGTTACTCTTGCTGCTGCCTAAACCCCAGAACCACAGTTCGGCGCAGGGAAAGTGTGAAAGTACTCACACTGCCGCCTCCTGGCACGTGTTTGATATTATCCTTTGAGCCACACTTGGACTGGACGTTGCTAAGATCCAGCTTCTTATTAATTATCTGCACCTTTGATAGCCAGAAAAAAGGATGAGTGACACACCACACCCAGATCCTTGTGCTCTGCACCAACACCGGCTCTCTGGCTCTCTGACCTCAGGCCGGGGAGAGGAGGCCCCACGGAGGGGAGGAGGTCTGAGTCACACCTCCCCAGGGGAGCTGCCCTGGAAGGCATTCCAGAGCTCTGCGTGATTGGAGGTGGGCCCCACCTTACAGCACTGGGTTTACAAACATTCACCAGGAGGCAAAGCTTCACTTCACAGAAGGATTGCATTACGGAGGCCCTCAGGGAGCACCTCTGAGGCAGAAACAAAAGTTGAGGGTTTACCAGGTGGGGATGGCGATGTCACTGAATGAGTAAATCAAAAGGCCCACCTGTGTCCTCATTCACACACCTACCATTCACATGCCATCAGGACATTCATCGAGACCTTTGTGGGGCCCTTCTCACACCTGTTAGGCACTTGAATCACCTGAAGGTAACTTTTTAAAAAATCTCAGACCCCACCCCACCTAGAATTATGATCGTGATTCTAGGAGCATTCTAATGCTCCCCTGGTCCGTTGCTCGGATGCACGGCTAGGTTCGATCATCATAGGGAGGGTGTGGATGGCTTCATGGAGAGCACAAATCCAGACCCCATCCATGTGAGGGTTTTGTCACATGGAGGGCCGGGTAATGCCCGCCATTCCATCCACCAGCTGACCCTTGTCTGCAGTCCCACCAGGTGCTAGTGTTCCAGGTGGTCCTCGCTCAGCTTTCCAGAGCAGGTGTGGCCCAGAGGGTAATGATCCCATTGTCTTTCTGCAAGGATCCTCTTTCTCTGGGCGCTGAGCAGAAGGTGTGGGGAAATCAGTGTTTTAGTGGAGAATATTATTTTTGCCCACTTTGTCTAAAAACTATGAAATACAAGACCACCATGGCACAGAGGAGAGCTGAAAGACCCTGGAGCAGTCTTTGTTTGCTAGAGCAGTGACATCTTCACCGGGAGTCTTTCCCCTCAGGGGCTCCGAGTTTGGAAACAGTGTGCTTTAGTTTCTATGAATCACAGAAGTAACTGCCAACCTAGAGCTCCCAAGTAAGATCCAGCATTGCTTCAAAATCCCGGAGATGGCGTTAAGACCTCGGTTGCTGCCTTTGTGAACGTGGGGTGGGGGCTGCTGCCAGGGGCCCAGGACCTGCTACGGTGGCTGTGGCCGGGGGTCAGAGCCCCAGCCTGCTTCCTCTAGGGAGAAGAGTCCCAAACTCTGACCCAAACAGAGACCGCCATTAAGAGGCCCACAGTCCTCGGCAATACAGGGAAGTGAGAACATTATAGAAAAAAATGTCCATCTGACTTTTTGGTGTTAAAATGGTCTTTCCTTTGTTAAATATTAGGTATTAAAAATCACAATGATAGTAGATACTATTTATTATTTTTAGATGTCCTAAAACTGGCAAAATAAAAATATAGTGAGTTTCTCTCAGACCCTATCCCCAGTTTTTCCTTCATTTCATTGGTGTGAATCTAAAAACCAGGGAAGCACATATCTTACCCACTTCTGATTTGCTTTGATGTTCCTTTTAAATAAAAAGCTGTTTTTTTTCCATTGGAAAAGTAACATAATATTATGATTTTGAAAAATAGACATTAAAAATTAGAGCAACAACAAAACAATTTTCTTGTCACCCTAACACACTGCTATTGCATTTTGTTGTATTCCCTTGAAATCTCACATATATAAGTAAAATTACCATCCTATACCTATAAAAGGTAGTAATTATTGTGTACATATAATTTTATTTCTTGCTTTGTCAAGTAACATCATATCCTAAGCATCTGCCATGTTCTCCAGTCATCAGAAGCATTGTTTTAAATAACAGACGATATTCCATTTTGTGATATCTGTGCTCTCAGATATTTGTCCTGATTCCATTTTGAATAATGTAAACAGCCTCACCACGAACATCTTTCTGCAAGGATTTTTTCCATATTATAGATTACTGGTATAGCATAGTGTTCCAGAAGTATAAGTGGGTCAAAGTAATTAATAAATGTACTAAATACACTCAGTACAGCTCTCCAGATGGCTTTCCAACAGGATCAGATTAATTTATGCCCTGAGCACTGTTGAGAATGACAGTTTCACCATATTGCTGCCAGCACTGGGCATTTAAAAAACTCCTTTGCTTTTACCTTTGATTAAAACTTCCTGGCGTTCCCCTGGTTTACCGACGAGGCCATTTGAGGCACACAGAGAGGTTCAGGACTTTCTCAAGTCCCTGGCAGAAGCCACATAAAACCTAGATCTGGGGGTTTCTGTGGCCACAGGCTGTCTATGTGGCAACAAACCTTCACCTGAGCAAAACTTCATTCATGCTACCCTCAGATTTTAAGGAGTCCCATGTGAACTCCTTCTTTGGGGATCTTTTTTTTTTTCATAACTCTATTGGCTAAGTCCCAGACACAGACTTGCCTGCTTTCACAAAGGAGCAGTTTAGAATTAGCAAACACACACACACACACACACACACCATTATGAAACAAGAAAATTTAAAGGATAGTGGTTAAAAATTTTTAAAGGGAAGTCCTCAGGACTGACAATTTTAAGACTAATCATTACAATTAGCTCTGAGCTTCCTGGAAGCCAAGGCAAAAAGGAAAACATGATGAGTTACATAACTCTCCTTATCTGACAAACTTTGTTTTCTGTACTAATCCATACAAGAAATCGATCAACCAAATCAAGAGACAGAAAAGCAATAATAAAATCTGCACATACATAGAAATGGAAATGTTGGAAATATTTTTTCCACGTGGCTTTTTCTTGTTCCAGTCCCACAAAAAGAGGCAACAAGCCCTTGTGGGGTTTGGCAGTAGGTGTAAGGATATTTACAAAACAGACCTGAATTACTGTTAACCATCAAATTAAACTAACACCCTTTACAGAATGCTAGCTCTACAAGGGTAATGGTTGGCATTAAAAAACTGGAATCCCGAAACTTTCTCACCTAGAGTAACATGTATATCGAGCCTCAGCTCTGGACAGACATTGACAATACTCATCAAAGGAAATAACAATGGTTTGAATGCTTGAAATTTTTGATCTGGAAGAATTCTAGTCAAGGGAGAAATTCCTGTGGTCAGGGTTTGACCCTGGAAGAGAGGCAGCGGTAGGGTGGGGCTGTGGCTGGGTCCACTTTGGTTTAAATCATTTCCTGGAGGACCCCAAGCTGTCCTAATTAGGCCTTGATCTGGTTCTGTTTGGGCTCAGACCTCTTGAGGTGCTCCAGATGGTCCAGCCCTCCTCCCAGAAGCACCCAGGCTGGCCCTGCATCTGCTTGCCATCCCTGGCAAGGCATGTCTCCTACACTGCCTGGTGCCTGAGGGGCCCAGCTTGGTCTCCCTCGGTCACCAGGCCCAGCGCTAAGGACTGGGGATGGGGATGCTGGTGGGAATTTAACCTGCAGCTGGCACTGGACAGCCACAGCAGGCCTTCTCTTCAAGCCCAAGGTGGTCAGCCTGAGAACGGACACAGGAAAACTTACCTGGGATCTGTCAAGAAAGTGCCAGAAGAGAGATCGCAAAACCTTTAGAATTATTTAGTTTCTTTAAACAGTGACTGCCCCATGCTTCTGTAAAGTGATGGCATTTACACAAGGTTTTTCAGAAACGCAGAAGCTGTGTAGGGAGAAGATGCCCAGAGGGTCTTGGAGTGACAGGACTGTCCCAGAGGAGGGTCTCAGCCTGGCTCTGTGTGGCCTGACCCTCAGCTCAGGTTCAGTGGAGCCCTGGCCCTGATCCAGGTGATGCAAACTGTCCCGGGTACAATTCACTTTACTTCCTCCACGTAAATGTCTACATGTGTGCTTTTTCAAAACAGAACTGGGACTTCGTCAGTAAATATAATGAAGTTTAAAAATTTATCAGTTCTCCAGTACTCTGATAGTCCTGCGCAGCATCCCAGCGCCATCTCGTGGCAGGCTGGAATATCGCATCCCAGGCTCTCAGAGGCTTTCGGCTCTGGTAGCGGCCGTCCACCTGGGTCTTCACATCCCAGGGACCGGCCTGGATGTCCTCAGAGGAAGTGACTTTAGCTCCAGCTGCTCAGAACCAGCCAGCCCAACCGCACACTCGGGACCCTGGGCCCTTTCCTGGACTTGGCTCTGCACATCCCTTCTCACCGTGGGCAGCCACAGGGCTCCCCCAGTTCTGACCAGGCAGCCTTGCCCCAGGTGAGCCCCTTCTCTCTCTCCCTGGACAGCACCTGAGGCCTCCACTGACCACACAGAGGGGCTGCCTAGAGCGGCGCTGCCCCAACTTTGGCGGGGCCCTCCCCGGCCCTCTCAGCACCGCTCCCCTCGCCCCTGACAGTGGAGTGGAGGCTCTCAGCGGGCCATCCCTCCACTGTCCCCTTGCTCTCTCCGGTCCTGACCAGTCAGGGCAAATGCCCTGCTGGCCCACAGCACACCCAGTGGGGACCTCCCTCTATCAGCCGTTAACTCTCCTTAGCTCTTGGTGAATGAACACTGCTCCAGCCTAACCCCCGCCCCCCAGCCTCCCCAGCTGGTGCCAGCCTTCACTCTATTCTCATGTGCTCTGAACATCAAGTGGGTGCAGCCCACTATCCTCTCGGTCCCTGTACCCAGCACTGTGCGGGCAACTGTCCTTTCAAAGACCAGTGATGATCCCAAACAAGGGTCTGTCTTGTCTTCTCTGACTTGGTGACACTTGACATTGTGGGTGACACTCCACAACACGGGTGACCTTCAGTGTGAGTGACCCTCGATGGTGCAGATGACCTCAGTGTGGGGAACCCCCAAGGGTGCGGGCTGCTCTCCGCTGCAAGTCCTTCCTGGGCCAACCTGTTCTCTTGTGCCTTTTTATCCGCTCACCTGCCTCGTGCCCCTGGCCCGGGCCCTGGGGAGGAACACTCAGCACAGAGCTTGGCACTCAGAGGTGCCTCAGAAACGCTGGGAGAACGAGTACAGAAAGGAGGGAGGGAGGAGCCAGCTCTCCACGCTGTAGGTTCTTTTTACTGGTGTCTTCTAATATATTTCTGCTCTCATTTTTTATCTTGTTATTTCTGTTTTGGTGCTCGTATTTCTTGTGTTCTTTTTTTCCCTCCCCTAAAAACCATCATTTTTATGATTGCAGTCATTTCATTTTTTAAATTACAAAAGCACTTAAAATTATGAATTCCTTCTAAGTGTAATTTGGGGGCAACTTTGCATCACTTACAGCATTTGTTATCAGTACACTAGGAAAAAGCATTCTTAATTTCCAAACCGAATGAGTGGGACGTAGGAGAAATTAATTCTCATGTGGTAATGTTGGTGATATGTATACAGTTAGGGTCTGATGTATTACAGAGAGGTTATGGAGCAGACAAGCACAATTCCTGCTTCTCCGTATTTATAGGTATTGTTCCTTTATGGACTAAATAGAATATTTGCCTAATATCTGAACTCCTACCAACAGACAAGCCCTCCGCCATATGATTTAAATCCTGGCATTTGCTAATATCCCCTTTCAATTAATGAACTTTCCATGTTCTTTCATCTTTACTATCATCTACTATAACACGTTCAGTTACAACTGTATTTCTATCCATTTGTAGAAAATATGAGAAGGGGTAATAGATAATAATCGACATCTCTAGGAGTCGCTATTAGCGTTTTGTCATATTTTGCTTTCTATGCACACTTCTTATAGAGATAGTAGGCATAACCTACATAATTTATACAATGTTGTTTCTAACTTAATAGTACTACATTTATAATTTTTTATAAATATAAAAATTCCTTTCAAATATGATTTTTAGTGGTTACACAGTATTTTATAGGATGGCCACCATCGTTAATTCTCTATTGTTAGACATTTAAATTGTTTCATTTTACAAATTATAAACAAAGCTCAATGCACATTTTTGTGTTTAAAGCTTTTCCTGAATTTTGGGTTTTCTTTCTTTCCTCAATTTTGAGTATACAGCACTTACTGTATAGCAGGTTCTGTGCGAGGCCAGTAGATCTCAAGGTAACCTGCAGTCCAGTCCAGAGGCAGGGGAGAGGTTCTGGCAGGTTTACAAACACGACCGCCTCCTGCTGCTTCTTCCAAGCGATCGTCTAGTAGGGAGTTGAGTTGCTCTTCAGACCTTTGGGGCGTTGTCCCTTCTGGAGCCAAGTGAACACCTACGGGGCACTCACTGCATGTCAGGCTCTCTGCAGGCTACAGGGGCCAGGGGATCTCAGGGCGGCCTCGGGGACCTCAGGCCAGTCACTCTGGGAGCCAAAGGCCTTCTCTCAGGGTCCCAGGTGTCTTCTTTCTCCCTCCCTTTTCTTTGCATTTTTTCCTGGTGATTGACGTGATCTTTGCTGTTCCCGCTGAGCTTTTGTTTCAGACATTCTCTAGGTTTTCTGTGGAATCTGGGAGAAGCCGTTACTCCTCCCTCAGCCACTTTGCTCCCTCTCCTCTCCCAGCAAGTCCCAAGGAAAGTCCCTTTCTCCTTTAACTCTTCAGTGGATGTGGACACCTGTCGGCACTAGAGAGGTCAACTGGGGGCACCCTGTCCCCTTTCCAACGAGCGCCGAGTCCCTGGCCTCATCCTCGGATTCCTGTCCCCCAGACAGGGCGGGCAGCCCTGGGTGCTAGGCGCCGGCCCTCTGGGCGCCCACAGCCGCATGAACAGCCCAGCCCGCCCAGTGGGCACACTGCTGCCAGCAGAGCTGCAAGAATGGGGCCAAGTAGTGCCAGAATGAATTCGGGGCAGATGGCGTGCAGTGCAGCGGGGCTGGCGGGAAGGTGGCTGGCAGGTGGGTGACAGCCCTGCGGGCTAGGGGACTGATGGTTATGGTTCCCCTTGTAATGAGTCATCATGCGCATGCTGGTGACACTGCACAGTCTTCTCAATGGTGCAGAGCTGGCCTTGTGGGTTTTGTATTTTGTTTTTCAGTATGGGGCAAATAGTCACTTTGCTGTGTGAACAGGGCACACGTGGACACTCACACTGCTGTTGTGTGTTGGGGGCTGTGCAAGCCACCAGGAAACATCTCACCACCATGAAAACTTTCTCCCTGGTGCCTCTCAGGACCTAGGCTTCACAGAGAGGTCACCTTCCAGGCAGCACCCAGTGCTGCCTGGAGCCCCTTTAGGAAGGAGACAGGCGTCTTTACAAAGAGGACAACAGGCACACACTGCAGGGAAAGTAAACACAGGCCGAGGACCAGCACTGAGGAGAGCTGGTGCTCTGCCGCAGAGGCACCCTGGCCTTCCCACCGGGCAGGACCCTGGGGCCCAAGGATGGGAAAGGCCAGCGGGAGGTCCTGAGGCTCCATGGAGAGCCAAGTGGAGTTTTAGGTAAGGCACCAGCCCTCAAGACGCTCTCCCTCCATGGCGACCCAGGCCCTGGCCAAGAGTGATAAAATAAAGTCAGTGTGGCAGGTGGAGGCGGGTGGTCCCAGCTGAAAGGGAAACGTTGGCTCAGAGTTCTGTCAGCTCCCCCAGCCACGGAGGCATCCGGCCTTGTAAATGGCCCAGCCCATCTGCCATCTCAAGAGCGGGTCTGGCCCCGTGCACTCCACACACGCCTCCCCTTCTCCCTTCTCTGTTCTCCTCCCTGCTGCTGCCTGTGGAGGGCTGTTATGAGAAGAACCGTATCCCCCAAAATTCTTAGGCTGAAGTTCTAACCTTCAGCCCCTCAGAATGGTCTTTAAAGAGGTCATGAGGTTAAACTGAGCCCATTAGGGTGGACCCTAATCCAATATGACTGCGGTCATAAGAAGGGGAGGTTGGGACACAGAGACACCCAGAGAAAAGACTGTGTGAGGACACAGAGAAGGGGGGTCGCCTACAAGCCACGGAGGGAGGCCTGAAGAGACAAACGCTGCGACGCTTTGATCCTGGGCTCCTGGCCTCCAGAACCGGGAGGAAGGAAGTTACTGCGGTACAAGCTGCCCGCCCAGTCTGTGGGATGTTGTATGTCAGCCCCAGGGCGCAGGGACGAGAAGAAGAGCACGGGGTCCAGGCCAGGCCCCACCTCCCCGCACCTCAGGCCCTCAGAAGCTCAAGGTTCCCCACCTTTAGCAGACCCGAAGACGTCCCGAGCACCCACCCACTGGCCCTGGAAGAGTCAGGCGTTCAAGATGGAGCCCTGAGTCCCCCCAGAGCAGAGGACGAGGGAGACAGCTGACCTGAGCAAATGTCCAGCGAGGGCCAGAGACGCCCACCTATAGACTGTGTCACGCTCTAAACACAAGGCGGGCAGGGGAGCCTCTGTGGGCTCCCCCACTTTGAGAAGCCTCAGGTCACAGAGACACCTCAGGTCACGGAGACACAGCCCTGTAATCTGTGATACTGTCCCATCAACAGGGGCTGAAAGGGCCAGGACATTCTCTGCCCTGAGCAGAGTGCTGATGGCTCGGTGGTGACACCAATGAAGGATAGAACCAGAGCGACCCATTGTCTTTCCCTGGAGGGACCGGGAGGGGGCTGGGTGCTCGCTCTGTGAAGGTTGGGAGCAGAGTCACCTGCCGCCTCTGCCCCAGGTGTGGGGGTCCCACACAGCTGCTGGTGCTCTGGGGCCGGCACGCGCACTGCAGCCCCCGCGCACCCTTACCTTCCCGCCTCCTGGCTGGTGCTTGAGGTTTTCAGTGGAGCCGATCTTGGACCGGACGTTCTTCAGGTCTGGCATGGGCACAGGGGCTGTCTGTAGGCGGCTCTTGGCTGAAGATGGCGACTTGGGTGGAGTGCGGACCACTGCCACCTTCTTGGGCTCTCGGGTGGGTGGGGTTGGCAGGGACGGGGTGCGGGAGCGGCTGCCAGGAGTGCCCGGAGAGCCGGGGCTGCTATAGCCACTGCGATCCCCAGATTTCCCAGGTTCACCTGGAAAGGAAGGAGGAAGTGAGGCCAGGATTGGGGTGGGTGGGAGTTAGACCAGGTCCTGGGGGCTGCCTGTCCTGAGGGTCCGTTCCCAGGCTGGCTGGTGGGAACAAGGTTGGAAACTCAGCAAAACTAGCAGGTGGCTTCCCTGCACCCTTCCTCCAGAGAAATGTCTCCTCTTTCTAGCCTTGTTGCTTAGGGACAAGACACCCCATTTCCCAGGGAAGCAACAGAATGGCCAGTCACCAATGACCACCCAGTACCCCTTCTCAGACAGGGGACAACTCTGCCCCATGGCCTTGTGGTCAAGAGACAGGTGCCAACTAGCTGTGTGGTCTCAGACAAGTTGCTTCCCCTCTCTGAGCTCAGGAGCCTCAACTCTAAGACATAAATAATTATAATGCCTGCAGTGAGGAAGGCCAGGTGGGAATGCATGTAAATGTGCTTTGTAAAACTCTAGTGCAATTCTTGGTGGCCGTTTCCTGGAATGCGGGTGAAGTGGTGAGGGGCCCAGGGGCTGCCCTCACCTGGATCTGTCTGACCCGTTAAGCAAGGGTGAGTTTTGAGCTGTTTGGCTAGCTCAAGGCCCCTTTCCCACCAGACCCCTGCCAGCCCTCCCCAACTCCTCGGTGGTGCCTGGGCTCTGGAACGGTGCGCCTACTTCATGTCCACCTGTCCCTAGCTCTCCAGACAAGCCATGCTGCTTCACGCTGCTGCTCCCTGCCTTGTGGTCCCTCCCCAAGAACGTCCTTCCTCCCACGCCCACACACTGTGCACCTTTCTAAACACAGTGCATGCCAAGCCCTCCAGGAGGGCTGCTGGGCTGCCCTCTCCCTGCAGACCCGGCCCTGTGCTCCCAACACGCTGCTTTCTATCCCGGCACCTTCAGGCCTGTTACTCCTCCGGGGTCCACCATTCCCCCAGCATTCCTCCGAGTGTGGCCCAGACACCCTGCCCCGAACCTCTGGGGCCATGATGGGGCAGGACCCGTAAGATGCAGATGCCTGGACCCCACCCAGGCCTGATATGACAGCTTCTCTAGGGGCAGGGCCTGCAAACCGGGTTCTCCCCACACCCCCAGAGGTTCTGGAGTGCACTCGAGTTTGGGCCCACTGGGTGGGATGCTGTGCCGGCTGATGGCTCATTTCCTCTCAGCTCCAAGGGCATCTGAGTTCTACTCCTGGCTCCAATCTTCCCACAGCGGTGCCCCTGCCCTGGCCCAGGAGCCAGCTCTACTGGACAGGAACCTGCAGGCCCAAATCTGGGGAAGGGCGACTCTTTGTTGGAAATGCCATGGAACCAAAGGGTGGCTTCTCTTGTCCAGGGGAGAACAAACACCTCCATTTTCAATGTTCGGACTTCCACATCTGTGGGACATCCCTAAAGTCATCAGGCTCTGTAGCGATAGGACAAATGAAGTCTTTACTCCTTTTTCACACAAGGAGACAGGAGACGGGTCTCCGGGCTCAGTCCTTCTGGCTCCTCAGCCCGCTGCTCCCCTGCCTCCAGGCCCAAGGCTGACCGGTGGTCTTGCTGGTGGCTTCACATCCTTTCTGCACCACGTAATTGCAGAGTGACCTTAGGTAAGCCACTCAGTCTCCCTAGACCTGGGTCCTCATGTGGAAAATGGAGAGCAGCCATGGCCCATGGCTCTGTGCTTTGAAGACTGTGTAAGAAGCAACAGGTACAGCGTCTGACGCAGCAGCTGACACTCACAGGGCACACATTTACTAAACACCAGTGGGAATGTCACACCTAAGCTTGGTTAGGGACAATCCGAGTCGCCAGCACCACAAAGAGGTCAGCTGAAGTAAATGTGAACACGCAGGATTGGAAACATCCATCCAAGCCATACACAGGAAGAGGGGCAGGAACCTCATTGCCCTAGCTTCAGGCTCAGGTGTGAAACCTAGGTTTCAGAAGCAGGTTGTCCCAGCCATACACACACACACACAAGCACACACACATGCACACACGTGAGCTCTTGTGCACAAAGTAAGTGTCCCCACTGGGCGACACAGGCTCAGAATTACCTCTGTCAGATTTTGCCCCCACAGGGGGTGATTTTCTCTGCATTTGCCTGGTAGCTTAAAAAGAAAAAGCCACAGAAAACCTCATTATAATCAAGCTTAAATGGGGTCTTAATGAGCTCTTTTTAATGCCACGGGCACAGGCGGTGCCTGGCTGGGCCATGCAACAGAGGCAAGCAAGGCAGGGCACGGGTTCAGGGAGCAGGGGCCCATCTGGCAGGAAGCAAGGTCAAGACACCCTGAGGGGGGAGATCTGTCCACCTGCTGTGGCCACCCAGGAGCAGGTAAGAGCCAAAGAGAAATGCACAGTCTTCTTTCCAGTTATGACTCCAGTTGTGTGAGTCAACTGGCATAATGTCAAGAGAAAAAAAGCAGGATCAGAATCATATATAAAATCCAGTCATAATTCTGCAAATTACTCCCTACCATATGTATTATTTACATAAGAAAACCGACCATGGGTCTTAATGAGCAGCTGTCCTTGTGGGCACCACCCTATAGCAAACTGGGGCTAAATGCCACGGCAAAAACACGCACATCAGGATGAAGGGCTGTGGGCCACCACCAAGGGCCAGCCACCAGCAGGGACACTACTGAACTGACCCAGGCCTCTTGCACAGCTTGTGTGAGGCCCCTTGAGCCCCACTCCAGAGCCACCGCAGGCCAGATGCCCCTGAGTCATGCAGAATCCACACCCAGCTGCCCCGGGTAGGCCGCTACTAGTGGGAGGGGGGAGCTCGGCCTGGCTGTCCCCATGCCCCAAAGAGCACCACTACTCTTAATAGGAACACTGGACGCGAAATGGCTCGACCGAAGCCTGCCTGGTACTCAAAACGGACTGAGTTTCACAGGAGCCCAGAGCAGCGGGCGCAGTGTGCAACTGCTCAGCTAAGACACTCGCGCCCTGGCAGAGCAAGACCTCCCTAGCAGTTAGGCTGCGCCAGCGCGCCCTGTGTGAGGCCCCCCCGAGTGACCTATCCAGGCCGCCACTCTGTCTCCAGAGAAAGTGCCTCAAGTCTCCACAGGGGCTGAAAAGCACCTCCCAGGAGGCCTGGGCTTGGAGTCAGGGAGGCTTGGAGAAGCCCCTGTCCTGCCACTTGTTTGTCACCTGGCCACATTTCCTCATGCTTAGAATGAGCTTATGCATGCAAACTCTCAGGATCTTGGTTTCTTCACTGATAAAAAGTGGGGATTCAACATCTACCTCAGAAAATTGTCATAAGGAGTAAAAATAAAATGAACATTCTGGTGGTTAGTAAACTGCAGGTGTGATCAGCTGCCAGAAGTTATTCATCGGCAGGGCCTTCAGCGATGAGGACCATACAGACAGCACTTCGGCTGACCCGGGCTCCGGAGAACATTCTTACCAGTGCCTGGTGGGGTCTTCGGCGAGGGCGTGGTTTTCGCTGGAATCCTAGAGGCGTTGGCCGTGCCTTTCTGGCCTGGAGGGGCCGCTCCCCGGGGTGTGGCGATCTTTGTCCCAGTTTTACTGTCTGCCCCCTGTAAATGGAAGCATGGTAGAGCGGGTCTGACCCTGGAGAAAGGTTGCTGTCATCTAGAGTCAAAATGCCAAGCGCACTGACTCAAAATGAGGCTAAAATGGGGTGACCCTTTGTCTATGAGATGCAACCTTCTACAACCACAGAGGTTTGCTGGGCACACACTCCCTGACTGCCGTTTCTTCCTGGAGGGATTGGTTACAGGAGCTGTCAGTGTAAGGTGTGCTAATGTATTTTATAAAACAGCAGTAGAGTGTAAGGGCTGGTCACCCGGGATGGATCTTTGGGCAGGACACGGCAGATTCCTATGCAGACACCCATTTCCTGACTCTTTGGGGATGTATCTGACTGAGGACGCTTGGTTTCACCAGAGGCCCTTGCAGACGCTGCTAACCTGACCAAGAGCGCTAACAGAATTGGACAAGCAATAGGTCATACTCTTCTGTTCTTTCCCTCCAGCCCTAAGGTGTCGGTAGCCCCTCAGGTACGTTTGCTAAGAGCCCTCGGCAGGGTGAATACCAGTGTCAATCAGCAAACAGGCCAAGGGTTGAGCGCATGCGCACAGCAGCCTGGGAAGGAGCGGTTACTGAGTTTGGTTACCGAGTCAATGACCTCAGCACATAACACAACTCAAAAAAGAAACTGACATTAACCAAGGACCACAGGATGGTTCAGGAGGGAGTGAACTAGGGGCTCAGGCGCGGCGGCACAGCGATGTGTCCAAGCCAAATGGGCGCAATGTGGACGCACTCTCAGCTACCCGTCAGGCAGGGACCGAGCAACCCAAAGAGAGCCGCCATTGCAGACGAGGGACCCACCCGGTGCCTGAGGGGCCGCTGCTAGGAGGGCCTAAGGGAGCTGAGAAGGACGGCACGAGCCCTCTTTTCTCCATTTCCACCAGAATTTTAACTGTTCTATATGGTGATTCTTATCTGAAGAAAGGTCTTCACAGCTAAAAAAACATACATTTGAAAACCACATTAAAGCAGCCTGATTCTTTTCAGAGGTGGTTTCCTTACCTTGGCTTTCATCTCCTTTGCTCCAGAACTGCCAGTTCGGGGTGTGACAGAAGAGACGTGTTTAGGAGAGGAAGATGACTCTGGGCACACAGCAGGGCTGGAGGGTTTGATCAAAGGGTCTGAGCTACCAGGAGTGGGGCGCTGGGGACTAAGGCAAGGCCTATTTTTCAGGGTTTTAGAAGAGGAAGGTGTGGATGGCTTAAACATAAACATAAATAAAATCAAAATAAAAGTCAGCACATGGGGAAGTGGAACAAACTGAAAAAGGCAATAACTAAAAATAAACAAGGCAGGTAGCAGTTTAAAGCAGTGATCTCCAAAGTGTGGGGACCGTGTACCCTTATCAGTCCTGCTGGTCGGTAAGAACAGGAGTGGCCCTGATCCCTGATTTGTACTTATTTATCAGTCAAATGCATGTGCTAGGATTCCAACAGCTGCTGTGCACTATCAAACTTATACATGACAGATTCTTAAAAACAGAAAATGAAAAATGGCCAGAAATTCTAGAATGTTCTTTCTCCAGCCCATTGCATCTTTTTGTGCCCCCCACTTTGGAGACCACTGTTTTAAAGGTGTTTCATGCCCAAAGAATCAATGGAGATTGCCGAAGTACATGATTCATGGGATGTTTCTCAATGTGTCATGGGTCAGAAGTACCCCACTTTCTGCTCAATTCCAGGTAAGGCGCTCATGCTGGCCTACTAGCCCTTGGCCCTCTTCCACCATAGTGAAGGACTCATACTTGCTAAAATCAGCATTGTGCCTGCCCCAAGTCTTAAGATTCTGCCTGACATCACTTAGGTTACACACACACACACACACACACACACACACACACACACACACACACTCTTTCTGACTGAAGTGTCAAATAAAACTAATCTTAACACTGTCTGGTGAATCCTAATCTGGTCAGTGTTTGCTCTTGAACACATTTCACCTAAGGACACAGCCTGGGCTTGGCAGGTGCCAACAGGACAGGTGTCTGCAGAGCCGGATGGCCTCCCAGAGAGAGCTGTCCCCTGGACAGGAGGGCACTGGATGGAGGGTGACTGCCACTCGTGGTTTGTCCTAACTGCCTCTGGGGAACTTCACCAAGAAGCATGGCCCTGGGAGGGTGGAGGAGGGTGGGCTGGGAAGGGGAGTGGCCACACCCAGGAATAAACCTGAGAGCCAGGTCTGGAGGTGTTCCAGGGCGGGAGTCAGCTGCACAGCAGGGGCCTGGCTGGCGGCTTTTGAGTTTGTGTCCTCACCACCCTTGGATTCCCCAACAAGTGGCAGAGGCCATCTCTTTGACCAGCCTTGGTGAGGAGGCGGACCCAAGGAATGGGGTGGAGGCGTAAGGGGAGGGACACAGGCTGAGGTCCTGAGGCTGGTGATGAGAAAAGCTGAGGATGGGTTCTAGCGAGCCCTCCTTCTCCAGGAAGGAGGCCCCTCTCTCCCTGCACAAGGCACCCCCAGCAGCACTCCCTACCCGACCAAGGTTCAAGCGAGAGCTGACCCCCTGCTGTGAGGCTGTGAGCAGCTCCAGGGCAGGGTCGTTGTACCCATGTGTGCAAACAAATGACCGAAGGGTATGCAGGAAGCCGGGATTTCCCTAAGTGTGCCTCACGACTGGCCCACAGCTCTTGCTGCTGCTCCAAGGGCAGAGGCCCTCATGTCCCTACAGGACCCTCAGCTGCCCCGTCAGGCAACTCCTGACTTCCTACAGGGTAGGTGTTTTGGGAGCAGCTCTCAACACATGCTACCAACTTCCTAGAGCTGCATTCTGCTTCTGGGGACTCCACCTGGGGTCCAGGACTGATTAAGACCCAGATGTTTCAGGAAGAATTTATACTGGAAATTTTAGATGCCTTTAAGGAAAACAGGTCTTCATCTAGGGCTACAGAAGGATTTTGCTGGGAAAACACTATTGTGCGGTTACAGGAGAATTTCCTAAGTCATTAAGGAAGTCAACTAGCTGAAAGCAAGCGCTGAGGACAGGCGCGGCTCTGGATCACTCAACAGCAGCAGGCTGCTTCACTTACTGTTCCTCAGGTTCATTTCTGAAGACTGACTACAGTCTGCACATCTCATTGCTGCCATGGCAAGATTCATTCACTGCAGCTACACGTGGCCACTTAGCATGGAAGGTCAGGTTTCCCTCCTCCAATATTTTCCCAACCATGCACCAGCCCCGCTCGGAGCCCCAGCAGCCAAGCCAATCTGCTCAGAGTTTTCAGAATTCATGCTGCTGTCCCTCTTTGCTCCTCCGTGCTCCTGGGTCTTTGTGATGTTCTTACTCCTCTGAATGCCTTTCCTACCCCTGCCTTCCCAGTCCTCTCTATTTCCTTACAGCCTGCCTTATAGGTGCTCTGGTCTAGGGCTTTTCCAGGACCTTCTGCTTTAGGGCAGAGACCACTTCCCTCATCAATGCTCTCTCAGCCTCCTAAGTAAATGGTATTTTCTATACATCATGTGTGTGTGTGTGTGTGTGTGTGTGTGTGTGTATGTTTTTGCTGAGCCTAGATGTGTAGTGGAAAGTGTAAGATGGGCAAAATTCAAACTTGCAGGAAATTAAAATATATACCTTCATTTACTGGGAACATTTCATTTAAACCATGTTAATGAATTGCAGTTAGGTGCATTAATTCATTGGCATAAATGAATAAATGCTGGAATTTTAAAAATTTGCATAAAAAATACAAAGCACTTTGAATGACAGTTGTACCTCAGTGACAAATGCTCCCCTGTTACATGTATGAATTAGTTCAGATCTAAAGCTTGGCTTCTCTATAAACTGGACGGTTTCATCAGCTTACCTTGGTTTTTTTGTCATCGGTTCCAGCCCCATCTTTGCCTTTACTGACCATGCGAGCTGATAAAATAGAAAATGAGAATGTGTGTTACACCATTTGCACAGCACAGGGAAAGAGCTGATGTAGTTAAGCCAGTTTCTTGGGATCAGTACAACAGGCTTTGTTCAGATGGGCTTGGTGGAAACCCAGTTGGTTTTCTTTTCTCTTGAATCTATTAGCTCTCTCATTTTTAGTATCAACACAGCACACTGGGGTCATTGCTTGGAGCACCCCAACAACAGGGGGCAGCAGGCTGGCTGAGGGTAGGGACATGCAGAGGGAAGGCAGTGGAAACTATCCCAGGCGCGTGTTGGCACGGGGCAGTTAGGGTAAGCGGACGGTGCTGGCCCCATCTTTCCCATGCTCCTTCCCGGTCTCTGCCAGGGTCAGCCTCCCCTGGCTGGGGCCAGCCGCACTCTAAGGAGGGGTGTTTGAAAGCAGCCCAGCCAGGCTCTGGCCTTCCGCAGGACCGCCACTCATGCTGTCACCCAAGGTCATGGTGAGCTGTTTTCCTACAGCCTGCACGTCACTAGGGGCTTTGGTGACCAGTTCCGGCTCCTCTCTGATAAGCTCATCCCACCCCTGACCCGGCCCTGGAGGATCTCATCACCTATAGCTCTCCCAAGGGGGACTAATCCTTGCTATTTTTCCAAATTAGCCACTAAGTAGTTACCATCAAACATCCTACAGATACTGTCTGGATCTTAGGACCAAACCACGGACAGCTTTTGTGTTTAGAAAGCCACACCTTTGGTGAAAGTAATCCATTTGATAACCAGTGTCACATCTAATTCACCATTTCCCTCTACTGAGATTCATTGTTGAAAACTGATTACAGCTTTTCTTCTTTGGTTTCAATATTGTGTTCCCCCTGCACCAAGGACAATAAGGCCTCCTAGAGCCTCCTCACTGGCCACTAGACACTGGGCTTCTGGAGTGACTAGCATTGACATCTAGACCAAAGGTTTTCAAACTTTATTGTGCAGCGGAATCCTGGGAGAGGCTGCTAAAAACAGATTTCTGGGCCCACCCCAAGACACTAAGCCTAAGTGGGGCCCAGGAATCTGCATTTTAATGAGTCCCAGGACGACTTGATTCAGGTCCTTTGTCCAAATCAACCACCATATCATCCATATTATAATAAAATCATCTGTTAGATCAGCATTTCCCAAACTGGGGACTACTGAAAAAGCCCTCTTCCAGGAGATTTTAGCAGGTGGGATCAAATAAACTTGGAAATTTCATACACCGTATTCCTCTCAGAGGGTCATTATGTGTATTAGAATAATAAAGGCTCTGACAAGTCCTGTTGCAGCAAACCCTGTTTAACTTTGTTTAGCCTGTTTTTTCCACACTTATTGGACCCTGGGACTCTTTTATCCCTGGACAAACCTATCAACAACCAGTGGACAAATACTCAATAAAACACCATTTCAGGAAACACTGCTGTAATCTACCATGCCACAGTTATTTGTCCCCTACTATATTGGAATTCAGAATATTTTTTAAGTAGGATATAAGATATTTTTTCTGTCTTAAAATTTAAATATGGGTTCCTTTATCTATAGTATCTCAAATTTCAAAGTTTTCTTTACAAGTAGAATCTAATAAAAATTTAACAGATGTTTGCAATTGGCAGGCTTTAAGTGGCATCAGTTTCTGGGCCCCACAAATAACTAAAATGCTAGGGGTCCTAAATGTGTGAATGTATTGGACCTGCGACCATGAGGCCTCTGGGCTGTGAACTGCCTTCCCTCTGGCAGCACCTAAAGCCTCCCCTCCCACCTGTCCAGCTCCTAAGCCTGCTGTGGTCCACAGGGCTGGGCCTGAGACCCCTGCAAGCCCAGCACACTGAGGGAGGAGGAGGGGGTCTGGCCAGGAAGATCTTGTTTCTCTTCTGCCACAGGCAGGGTGGGTGGGGCTGGAGGTTGCCGGGCCAAAGGCTCAGCACGGGCTCCTGGCTACCTCCAAACGCGTTTACGTCACAGCGGCATGCATGTGTTGCCCGCAGACCAGGGCAGCGGGAGACCGGGTGTATCCTCTGCGTCTGTGGGTTAGAAGGGCACACTTCAGAACCTTCTGGAAGGCCCCGATGCTTATTACTTGGTGACCTTCAGCAAGTTACTTCCTTCACCTCTCTGAGCTCAGTTTCCTCATTTGCAAAGTGGAGCTAATTATGCCCACTTGGGAGAGTGAGAAGCTTCCAGGCATCATCAGCCCTCAAAAGTGGGAATAGTTGTTATCCTCTCTGGGGAGGGCAGCACACCAACCTCCTCCCACGGCTGACGGACCGTCATGGATAAACCAAGTGGCCAGAGACATGAATGGGGCAGAAAGCACTGGGTGGGTGTTGGGGACATGCAGAACGACGGCAAGCGTGAGGGACAAGAGGCCGAGGAAGGGTGAGCAGTGGGTCCAGGTGGCTGGCTTAGTGGCTGTCCCTAGGAGCCTTGGAAGCAGCAGGAGTCAAGGAGGGGCCGGAAGCTCGGTGGCTGCGCCTGCAGCCTGGATGGCATATGAGGTCACTGGGAAGGAGCAGAGGAGCTCAAGACACAGACCTTTGAGTTGAGGGACCCGGCTGACGGGCTTCCCCGGCAGACCGGCTGCAGGCTGCTTTTCTGATGCGTCAGGAAGGTCAGCGTTTTTTGTGGCCTCTCCCTCAGAGGGGCCCAGGGGCTCCTGCTCCTCTCCAGGGGCCCCTAGAAGGGCAGCCCCTTCCAAATCCACTTCTGAACGTCCTTGTTCCCTCTGCACGTTGGCTCTGATTTCCACGTGGAACAGGAACTCAGGGGGTGCGTCGGGCCCTTCTGCCGGGGGCCCTGAGCTCAGCCCGTTGGGCTCTGAGACCTGGGTCTCTGTAGGAATGTTGGAGAGGAAATCGAGAGGGAGGGGGATGGCACCCTCATCTCTGTGAACTGTCTGGGGGGTTGGCCCACCTCGGAATGGGGAGCTCTGCAAACTTGGGGAGACCTGGGAGGGAGAGGAGTCCTGGGGCGAGGACTCGTCGATGTCACGGTCTTCATCAACACCCTCACCCCCCAGCCTCTCTTTGCTCTGGTCCCCCTTCAGTGGTGGCCCCTCCTGGTACAGGTCTCCCAAAAGCGGGCGCTCCAGCAACTCAGAGCGATGGCGGCTTCCCTCTGTGTGGTCGGAGGCTGTCCCTGAAGGCTGGTGCATGGCCTCTGTGGGGCCCTCAGGCAGGATGGGAGCCCCCTGCATGTCAGACACACGCTGGTGGGCGGGACCCTCAGTCTCAGTCCCATGGTGCCCTGGCTCCCTGAGGAGGCTGTCGCGGTCAGGCCTGCTGCTCCCAGGTTCCGGGTGGAGATGGCCAGGGTAGGAGGGCTTTGGGAAGAGCAGCTCTTCCTTGGCCCTGTCGCCTTGAATTGGTCCCCACTCCTGATGGGGCTCCCGAGGACCTCCTGTTGGAGAAGGTGGCTGGCGGACGGGATGATGCTGGGAACGGGTAGAGCTCACTAGGATGGGAGCTTCCAGCTGTTTCTCCCCTGGAGGCAGCACAGAGACCCATGAAGCTTCGCTGTGTCCCGGCAGGACCTGAGAGCTAAGCCCAGTGGCCAGGGGCCTCGCAGGCACCTCCCTCTTCTGGCCCGGGACTCTCAGCTCCTCTGGGTTTGAAGAGGCAGTGGTGGTAAAAGGTTAGCAAGGGAGGGTTAGTTGTTTAAGAGGAGGAACACACTCTTGAAATAAGAAAAGGATGTTTAAGTGGTGTCACAAGCCCACCGAACAAAGAAACCCAAGTGCACACTCGGGACTTCTCCTCGTTGCTTTTCTTGGCTTGGAATGAACCCTCTCTTGGTCTGTCTGCCACCAGCTCATTGGTGACCCTGGGAGAGCACCTCCCTGCCCTGGGCCTCAGTTTTCTCATCTGTAAATGTGGGGCTTGGACCTGGTGACCTGGAGGCCTGTCTTATTCCTCTGCCTATAGTGGCTCTGGTTGGGCTCGGAGCACATCCACATATCCAGAGGCGCCTCATGCTTAATCCACTGTCTACAGAAACTTCTCTCCAGGGACACTGAGCCTCCTGAAGATTCTGGCTTCCGATGGGACCTGACCTGGGTGCAGTGAGGACCCCCTTTCCTCCTTGCTCTCTGACCCCTTTTTGCCAAATGAAATCAGCAAGTACCCAAAGCCCAGGCTCTTGATAGATTTGGAAAATCCCCAATTTTTCACCCTCAGGGCTTGAATCTTTACTAATAGACCTGCCACAGGAGTCCTAAAAAAGAAACATGATTCAGATTTATCCAGGTCATGGATCACGGACAGGCCTTTTGCACAACGTGAGGCAGGGCACCGACGTATAGGGCTCTGCATGGCCGGCGCACAGGACCATGGCTTCCACCTGGCGCCACGACCTGCCACGCCGACCCAGGCAACGGGAATTCCTCCTCAAAGTGCCTGACTATGTATCAAGGACAGGAGAGATATGCTCTTTGCTTATCCTAATAAACCTTAAAAAAAAAAAAAATTCCCACCACCTCACACATCCCATGTAGTCCCTACAGAAGAACCCACACCACTCCACAGCCCTCCTCAACACAAAACCCAGAACCCCAAAGGATTCAGGGTCTTGGAAGAGAAAGAGATTGGATGAGGGGAGGGGAGGGAGGGAAGAGACCGCATGTGTCCACACAGGTGTGCAGCTAGGGAGACACACGGGCAAGGCATGACCATCCCTCTCTGCCCCACCCAGGCAGAGTCTGTGCAGCTGCCTGCTGGCTCATGGCCAAAAGGCCTGGCCATGGCTCACCCTCACCTCCCACCCTTACCCTGGGGCCCGGAGCTCATGACCTCATCCATTCCATGCTCCCAGCCTCAACCGTAGTGCAGCAGTGATCAATAAATGAAGCCTGCATGGAGGAACTGGCTGTGCTGATTTCTGCTTCAGGCAGGCCTACAGGCTCCCTAGGGGGCCCTTGATCATCTCTGGGAAGAATAGCCCAACAACAGAGATGCAGGAAACACACACACCACACATGGCGGGAGAATAGCTGCTGGGCACTACACTTCCCCGACAGCCCAGGGCTCCACTGCCTTTCAGAAAAAGCTTTCCTCTCAGAGCTTCCTAGAGATTGCTCTTGACTGGGATGTTGCTGTACTCTGATAAATGGCAAGGCTTTAAAAGACCCTCATTATAAAAGAGAGAAGGGCCCCAAACATAAAGAGGAAACATACCTTGAAAAGTCATCAATATACAATTGTACAGTGTGTGCATGTCGATGGATGAGGAACTAACACAATGCAATTACACTCCTGGGTGAAGGAACCAGGCTGGAAGCATAGCCTTCCAGGTCCCAGAATACTGTCATGTGCTCAGTAAGTATTACATGTAGCAATCACCAGAGGTGGAGGGTGGGTAGGTCCAGGTGAACAGTATCTGGATGAATACAATGCAATGGCCTCAGGAGTCCAGATAAATCCCCAACACCCCCAGCGCCCCTCTCAGGAGGCCTGGTCCTCGTGACCCTTACAGAAGCAAGGTCTACCCCCGGATGTGGGCAGAACATGGGTAAGGCCTTCCCACACCTCACTCTCCGCATACTGCAGCGCCATCTTGAAACATCTTTTTCTGCCTTAGGCACTTCATGAACACAGGCTGCCAGAGGTTTTCCTTCTGCAGTAAGAAGAGATCTAATAACTGTGCTTTTGTTCATGTGGCTTTTCCTAGATCTGATTGATTAATACCCAATAGACCACAGGCCTTTGGCAAATAAGATGGGTTTGTGGACCACCAGTGTGTCTGATTTCACAAGGTTTCACCGGAGGGAATTGGGTGTGACAGTTTGGACAAGCAGTCCCAATCAAGCCACTAAATATTGGCCTTGGGAGCAGAGGTAGAAAGAGATTTGGGGCTCATTTTCCATTGCAGATGTTATCTGGTGCTCGTCTTTATATCTATACGATAGTAGGCCACTGTCACAGGCACTGAATTCAGTTAGCACAAAAGTAAATTTTTCAGAAAAAGTGTTGGCCTGATAATGCTGCACGGCATATGTTTTAGGGACATGTAGACACAGCCTGCAATAAAAATTTGTAGAAAAATCTCATATTCCCTTCTTTTTATGGCAATAGATGACCATTTCCAGAGGTTGGAAAGGCCTCTAATTTTTACCGAAGCTAAAAATCATAACTCAAAAGAAACAGGAGGTGGGATTCTAGTTGTTTAACACATAGACTGAGGTTTCTCCTTATATTGATTATCCCTTCTAATATTTTTGAAGCTCTTTGTAAGCTTAAGAACAAAACACACCTTCCAGCACCATGGGAGATGAGAAACATTAGTCCACTATGGGACAGTGACCCTCTGGGAGCAGGAATGTGTGGTTAGGCTTCAAAATACCCTCAGTGAGACACTTCTTTGGGCCCAGAGACTTCCTAAAGCCAGATGGCCCAAGTGGTGGTGCTAAACATTGAACAAATCCTGGATCACTTTCTGGAGAAACGAACATCATCTTCCCAGCTCTTCTGCAGTCTAGAAGCTTTCACAGTATACACTTGGCTCTCAAGTTCATGTATGCAATGAATGATAGAAAACACACCCAGCCTATGTTGTATCAGAGGTCTCCATTTCCCAAGACAAGGAATCTCTAGGATTTAACAATTAAGTTCTTAATTTTACGCTAACTGATTATAGGAAGCGGCTTTCCGTGAACACAACAGTTTTGGTGCTGGAGAAAGTCATAGTAAGGCTTGAAGGTTGCAAAGAACAAAGTTGAAAAGGAATAGCTTGGTGGGGATATGGCTACGGTGGTGCTCCTAGGACAGGCCCGAGGGCAGCCTTCAGGGAGGATCTCCCCTCAGACATACTTGCGTTTCTGTTGGGCATTCATTCTTGACTTCCTGTGCTGCACAAGGCCAGCTTCTTCCACAACACTACATATCTTAGGAATGACTCAGAAATTGTGTTAGGAGGGAAAAAAAAGGCTAAAGCTCTTTCTATATCTGAATAGCCCATCTTTGGTAAGAAACAACTCCTAAAAGTCTCCTGGACCCACAAATTAGGGCCCAGGTTCAAATCTGCTTTTCAGGATGAAGTCCATCTGAGCGTTGCCATTTCCCTCCTCCCACTCCCCAGTCTTGGTAGACAATTCCAGCCCACTGACCTTGAGTCACATGCCCAGCCGCTTGGTCTTCCAGGCTGGGGGTGTCTCCAATGCCTGCTTCTTCAGCTGGTTTATGTGTCAGCAAATGAAGAAGATAAAAGCAAAGACAGTTACTGCTTGCCAGAAACAAAGCTCTCTGCATCTTCTGGTATTTTTCTGAAAACATCCAGGAAAGGCACATTTTATAAGCACCAAGGGGCTGCACCTCTGGTTCTTTGCAAATGACATAACTGGGGATGTCAATGAAAACTGTTCACTAAACAAACCCCACTACACACACACACACACACACACACACACACACACACACACACATTACAGGCGATCACCATCTATTAGGAAGGGATCTCCGGGGACCTAGGGTCCTGAGTGCCCCACTCAACAAAGGCACACAAAATGGGTGGGGTCTGAGAAGCAATCTGCTGCCCAGCCACGGCCACAGAAGCCGTGTCCAAGTGGCAGCTGCACTTCCAGCCCCCGCCAGTGCGCTGGGGATGCCCAAGTGCAGGGAAGGACCAGGTGTGGCTTTGGAGTCAGGCTAGGTTCACACCCAGGCACCACCATTTACTTAACTTCTCTGAGTCTGTTTCCTCATCCAGAACCCCGAGGGATGAGAGTGGTTCATCTTGCAGGAAGGTGGTGAAGGTTAATATGAGAATTTGTGTGAATGTGTTTAGCAAAGAGCCTGGCATATGGTAGGTGCCCCAAAGCTGCTCAGTTTCTTTTCTCCAGCATGCCAGAATAGGTGCTACCCAGTTAGAGGGAGACCAGCAGTGCCAGGGAGCAGTTTTGGGGATGTCTTGGGCTCCCACATAGGGAGCCACAGCTCACCCCAAACAAAGAAGACCTGAGCGACAAGGTGGCCAACACATTGACACGCACTGGTCTCATGGCCCCAGCAGAACCAACAGGCCCCGACGGACAGTGACAGAGAGACCATCTCCCCCGAGAAATGCCTACAAGTTGCTGGCTACGCCACCCATCTTTTTTTCGCAGACCTGTGACTCAGTCTCTACATCCAAAACAGGAATGCCAAGTTCCCACCACCAGCCAGCACAGGACCACCGTGGAGAGCACACATGAGGGACAGGAAAGGTGCCCGGGGGGCTGGGCAGCTATAGGGCGGCCTCATAAATGCTGAGCCCATGGGCTGTCCCAGGGCAGTCGGGGCCACAGTGGGCTCCGGCAGCTCCCACCTGCCAGTTCATTGGCACCCACCCTCTGGACCCCCATGAGCTGACCCTCTGCTGCCCGGTCTGATGGGGACAGTTCCATGTCATTTGACAACAGCCAGCTGTCTGGGAAGCATGACTCTGAGCACAGTTTTGGTTTGAGTTTCTGATGAGGTTGTAGAAGAAAGCCTCAGAGGGTCAGGGGGTCCAGCTACAAGGCAGAGAGTCCTGGAGACAGAGAAGATGAGGAGGCATGCCAGGATGGCGCCACCACCGCGGCGCTGGGAAGGCGACCTGCTTTGGCATGCCACAGCAGAGGGGCGATATTCCAGCCCTGGCCCGAGTCAGAAATCGGAGGCTGCTGATCACTCTTTGACAACCCCCTGCCCTATCCCTGCTTCCCAGCCAGGAGTGTGCTCATAGAGGCCAGAGGGAAGGATGGTGCAGGACAGCGGCCAGGTTATCGCATCACTGCATGGCATCTCTATATCCCTGAGGCCTCGAGAGGCAGGGGCTCCCATCCCTGCAAGGGAGGGATTCCTGCAGTGGGGTGACCACACTGCACCCCCAAATGGTCCTCAAATTAGATTGTCAGCAGAGCACCAAGATATAGCACACAGGACATGGCAGAAGCTGAGGTTCATATTGTCAAAGTAAACAGCTGAGAAAATGTCCCCCCAGCTCTAACCCTCCCCATCTCACTGAGGATGTAAAGTGGAGAGAAGAGGATTTTTGAGGAAGATTTCTATGGAGAGAGAGGCTACACGGCCACCTCCTATCTCAGTCCTAGGGAAGGGCCTCAAGGCACCACCTGGTGACACTGGTGTATGTCCCCTGTGGTTAGAGACCTGGAGGGCTGCTATCAGAGCCCCACCTTGAAAACTAGAGGTAGAGAGATGTCTGGTCCTGCTTTGGTGGTGGAGCAAAGGAGCGCAGCTGCAGCCCTGCGACCAGTCTGCACAGTCTATGTTTGCTTGGGCAAAGAATGCCCATATGTTTCCCACAGACCTGATATGGGCGCAGGGCAGCAACGGCATGGGGCACCTTAGGCCGTGTCCAGTAGGCCAGCAGCAGGAGCAAGCCGACCTCAGCAGAGGTGAGCCTGGGATGGATCTTGACTCCAAGGGGCTGAGGAGAGAGGGGATGTCTGCTGGAATCGGGCTCAGCAGGAGGCACCTTCATGGGGGTAACTGGGATAGGGGAGTCTGGAAGAATCCAAACAGGTTTCCACCAGAGAGACTTAACTTTACACTCTGCAGAGAGTGTGACACCAGCTCACAGCAGTGCCGACCCAGCAGGAACTTCCCTGCCCCCATCCTCTCCTTGTCCGCAGCCCCAGAGAGGAGGGGCTGCAGCCCTGAATGAGCTTTGACTACGAATGGGACATTCTACTGAGTATTTTGCACTGTTTTGTGACTATGGAGACAAAAGTACTTTTGATTGCTAGGAATGATCAGAAACTCAAGAGGGGACTAGATTTCTTGTCCTGAGCAGAGGAAGAGCTCCCCACTGAGTAAATAGTAAAGGGACAGCAGGAGACAATCAAGTTGCCCAGGACCTCATCCCATGAGTCAGTCCATGGCTTTCAAATGACCTTCACTGCCAGGCTGAGGTCCGCTTGGCTTGGAGGCCACCACCCTCTCCACCCATCTCAGAAGACCAACTCACAGAGCAGAAACTATTTTGAAGGAGTCAGGGGTGCTGCTGGGGCCCCGCACAAGCGTTGTCAATATGTGAGCCCTGAGAAGGGGCTGCAGGCTCCCCAGATGGCTGCCGTGAGCACTGTCTTTAGGGGGATGCTTCCCCACTCTCCATTGTGGGCAGAATCCTCTCCAGAGCTCATCGGCATTTCTCGCTGGGCACTCTCCAGGTTGCCAAGCCGGCAGCTGGAGACTTTACATAAGCCAAATGCAGAGGATGTGAAGGAAATGACAGCAAGAGCTCTGGGCTAAGCCAGCTGCTTCCTAAGGGCCTGGGCAGCTCTCGATGGCCTCTGGCACCCTGAGGCCGGTGCTATTTCTGGTTGGTGCCCTGTCTGAGTCACAACTCTCCATTACCTGTGTTGACTGGACAGTCCCAGGTGCCTGTTCTATGCAGATACATTTGAAAGAACGGTCCTGGAAATGGATGGTAGATTACATTGCTGAACTCCGTGGCAGTTCAGTCCAATTAAGGTCCCGCAAAGGTGTGGGTCAGTCATCTGGACCCGGCTGCCCACTGGGGTGGTCCTGGGGATAAATCAGCCCCTGGGAGCCGACCCTGTCACTGGGCAGAGTCCCAGCAGGAGGGTGGATGGACACAAGATTGAGGAAGGCAGGACCTGCCATCTACCTGCCTCAGACAACCTTTGGGAGAGCTCTGCCAAGCTGGTGTGCTGGCCACGACAGGAGAGGTGAAGCTAGGAGGAATCCAGGAGGTCCTCTGCCCTCTGGGAAGCTGGCAGGCAGCCAGGGAAGCAACAGGGCATCAAGGTCTCAAGCTTGGAACAACCCAAGATTCCCAGAAGCGGATGTTCCCCACATTCCTGCCTCACTCAGACGCGGGCATGACCCCTCCTCGCACCCACTCCTCCAGCAGGTCAGCCGGGCACCCAGCAGGGGCTCTCCACACCCAGTCCTGGGGGTCACCCTCACCTGTGGTTCCTTCTGGGATCTCCGTGTGGGGCTGAGCGGCTGCCTGCTCACCAGGGGCTCCCTCATCCACTAAAGGTGCTGTCACGTCTGGAAACCATGGAAAGTCCCCTTAGGGCGCATGGGATGAGCCGGCCCATGCCCCTCACCTTGCTTCTTCTGCGGGAGCAGTACAGGGAGGAAGAGGGAGGCAGGAGAGGACGCAGCTGCATGCAGAAAGGCGCCGCCACAAAGCAGGGCCCAGGGCTGCGCTCCGGCCACCTCCCCCAGGAAGTAGGTTAATGCACTGCTTGAGTGGCACTACTCACAAAACACCAGGTCACATGCCAAGAAAGCAGGGACACCCCCACGTAAACACTGCAATGAGAGAAACTGCTGAGAATGGCCCTAGGGTTTTTAAAGAAAAAATGTTGAAAATCAGATGACTGCTGCGAGTCTCAGATGATTGGGCAAATCTTTAATCCTCTTGGGGCCTCAGTTTCCTTGTCTGCAAACTGGGAGTATCATCACCAGGTGACTTTCAAATGTTCTTCCAGTTGGAATCTCCCTGTTCCGCTGAGGCCATGACTCATGGTTTTAGCACAGATGTCCTTGGGTGGCAATGGGCAGGCCAGTCCTGTCCAGGGTTGGGTGCTTGACAACAGGCCTGCAGATGGGCCCACCATTAGAGCAGAGGCTGGAGGTGAAAGAGCCGCCACCAGGAGCTGCTGTTGGTGTCTTACCACCATGAACACTTCCAAATTGGCTTTCTTCCCCAAGTAATGCCCTGGCACACTCCCAGGCCGTTCCGGGCAAACGTAAGGAGTCATTAGCTTTGAAAGCTTCTCAAGAGCCTGAGTCAGTTGAGTTAGATGGAGTCATTGTAATTATGGTCCTCTGGGGAGCAGCCCTGCAGAGCCCGGCCCAGCAGGGTGCCCTCCCTGTGGGGTGAGCTGAGCTGCAGCTGCGGCCCACACATGGTCCAGGGTCTGGAGGGCGGCAAGACTTGGCTGGAAGATTTTTCCAGAGGAAGGCTGATGGCGCGCTGGAAACCACGATCTGGGAAGCTGGCAGGAAACCTGGCATTAGAGTTTCAGGACTTCCTCAGGGTGGTAGGCAACTTGCAGAACTGTCCTAACAAGATCAGCGGGAAATGTCTTTCATCTCCTGCTCTAAGAAGGAAGGCAAAGAGCATTTGGCCTGGGTATTCTCTTCCCTAAGCTGAGAGGCCTAGGGGAAGGGCCACACCTACTATATCCCCTATGGATGCACCCTTATCCCAAGCAGTTGGCAGGCCCTTTACAGTCGCTTTCTGAATTCATTCAAAGGCGTATGCCTGGGGAGATGCTGGGCCAGGTTCCCATCCTGGGACACAGCATCCAGTAATAGGCAGGGCCAGGAGGAGTCCTGAGAGCAGAACAAGAGTCTCATTGGGGAGGCTGGACAGACCAAAGGGCGATACCACAGACTGGTTACTCAAAAGCCATTCTCAGTGCCCTTCTCCCTTGATTTCTCCTACTAAAAAGACCAAAAAGCAAAATGTTTGATGTCCTAGCCTCCCTTCTAGCCAGGGTTGGCCATGAGACCCAATTCTGGCCAATGAGACAAAAGTGGAAATCAGATAGGGCTTGTTTTCCTAATAAAATGGGAACATACTTGGTTTCAGTTCCCCTTTGGGCCACTTTGCCTTGTTACTTTCTTCCTGCTTTGAAGGCACAAGTGATAGTTGGAATACAGCAGCCACCTTGTAACCATGAGGCAACAATCCAATCATCAAGGCTGAAAGAACAGCATTGATGACACTGGGAGCTGTTGTCCAATTCCAAACATCTTATGTTTGACAATATGTGAGACAAAGAAGCCTTTTTTTATGGCCCAGTCAGCTGGGTTTTCCCTATCTGCAATCAAACACAGTGTTGACTGACATAGATGGGAAGCAAGGAGAGTTGGTCAAAATAAGGACCAGGGAGCCCTTTGGGAAATACATGGAGAGCTTTGTGCTAATCTAGACAATCAATGTCTAGAGAGGACTAGAAAATGAGTCAAAACTCACACTACAACCAAGGTTCAGAGGCCTAGGCCCAGAGGCCCAGGCCAAACCCAGAGTCCAAGAAATTAAGGATATTAAACCAAGACCAGTCCTAAGGTGTGAGCCTGGACATGTGCACAGACCAGCCCCTTTCCTCAGCCAAACGGCTGCTCTGGGACCTGGTGGCTCATGAAAAAAGAGCAAGGTGGGTGGGGGCTTCCAAAGGAGTTTGGGGTGGACAGTCGACATGGACCAGGGGCTTTGTAGAGCTGTGTTTGGGCCCTGCTTTGCCACGGATCCCAGCCTCTCCAAGCACGGCCTCAAAGCGCACACGATGGTGCCCATACCTGGCCCTAGCGCGCAGGCATCAGAGCAGGGCTTGGCTCCAGCCTTCCGGGGCCTGAGCCCCATCCTATGAAGCATGGAACAAGCATATCTCTCAGTCAGAGGGAGAGGCGGCAGCAAATGCAGCCAGCAAGGGTGGCACATATGGGCTCAAAGCATGGCTAAGCGCAGGCTGGAGGCATGGAAGGAGCTGTCTGAACAAAGCAGTGAAAGCGGGGAGACCCCACCTTCGGCGGTCGGAGTACTCTTAGCATCAGAGGTTTCAGAGCCTGGTTCCTCAGATCCATCATCGGCGGGGGTCTGCAGGGGAGACTCTGGAACATACATAGTAAGCCCCTCAGAATGGCTGCCTCTCCTGCCCCCACTTTTGACCTCAGGAAGAATTCAGGAGCAGTGTCTTTTGGAGCTGGAAAGCACCAGCATGGATGGACCGTGGCCGTGTGATAAAATCACAAGGGGGACCAGTCCCATCCCCAGCCCAACACAACTGCACTCCTACACCAGGGCCACCAGGCAGAGATGTGGGTCATGTGTAGCTCTTGGGTGAGAGGAGAAACTGCCTTTCAATCAGCCAGTGGTTCCAACTGAGGCAAAAGCTCTAATACTGACAACGGGAGAGCAGGTACCAGAGAGCTAAGCCACGAGCAAACCTGCTGCTTGGGTCTTTCCTTACTGGAGAGGTTACTGGGAGGTCGCTGCCATTAATGAATGACAAGTAGACCCTTGGAAAAACACTCAGACATTCAACTCCTTCTTCCGAAGAGGAATTAGCGCAGAGCAGACACACTGCCTTCTAACTGGGCACTGGGTTGCATCTCTGGATTTCGCCCAGCAATTCTCACAGGAAGATCTCCAAATACTGACCAGCAGGCCCTGAGTTACACCTGAAATGTCAGCCACAATCACCTAAAAGAAAATTCCTTTCAGAATTTGAAGCCAAGGCGGCTCTGGTGGACTCTGGGAAAGCACCCCACTGGGGGTGAGGGCAGCCTTGGAGTCAGTTTCAGGATGGGGGTGAGGCAGAGCCCCAAGATGAGGAAAGACAAGTGGTGTTCAAGTGCACTTTGAGATCAGACACCCTGTACCCTTTTGCTGAAACGCCGTCCCAGGACACCCAGCCCTGGCCGCACCCACCCAGCCAAGGAAGGGCTAACTCTCAACGAGCCCCCAGCACACACATAGCTCCCTGGGTCTGGAGCTTGCAAAACCTGCGAACTGCCTTGAGAAGGCTTTGGACAAAACTGCCTGGTAAGGAAGCGTCATGACACACGGTGGGGAAGACTGCCTGCCAGGTCTTGCTATTACGGACCAGCCTTAACTGTCAGAGCATGGGTGCAGATGGGCATGATGGTGCCCCCCAAGCATGCTTGTCCCCCAACCACTCCCTCGCCCAATCTGTCCCTAGCCTGCAATCCTCATTGTTTGCATTATCCTTGTTAAATTTCTTGGAGGGAGGGAAGGAAGAAGAAGCCTCTTCTGAATGTATTATCTGGATGGTACAAAAAGTTAACCCATGGATACCTTTTAATCCTCAGGGTGCAGTATTTTATCTTAACCAACTGTCACTCACTTTGCAGCCCTCTTTGGTTGTATCTAGTCCTATTGCAAGTTTCAGCATCCACTTAAATGCTCTTTGTTCTAGTATTTTACATGTGGTTTCTTGTCATTGTTCAAAGTAATCTGTCACTTATCTAAAACGTTGCTAGCAAAGTGACACCTTCTGCCAAGTCATACCTCTCGCTTCCAATATAAAAATAACTCATTCTAAATCCTTAGTGGCAAGAACAAATTTGATGAGAACAGAAAATCTCTTAGGTGTCACTTGCTTTCTTGGGAAGTATATTTTTTGGCTAAGCAAATTATCTTCGAATAAATTTTTTCCTGTCATTGCAGTGACAAAACAGTTAGCAACTTAAATTCTGCATATAGATGATATATATACATGTTTTATCATAGACCATTTGACCCTGTATGTGTCAAAGAATTGAGTTTTAGCAAACATACTTTAGGCGATTCTGAGACACAAAATATCTTGGTTAACATATTCTTATTTTACAAATTGAATTTAATTTCTCCTTCAAAAAATAAGCGGTGAAAAACACTTCTTCCTGAACTTTTTAAAAAATGACCTTTTTTATTTCAGAAGTTTTAGATTTACAGAAAAACTGCAAATATGCTATAGAGTCTATAGCCCACATACAGTTTCCCCTAGTATTAACATCCTACATTATTATGGTATATTTGTTGCAATATGGTATGTATTTTTAACTTAATTTTTAAACCAGTCTACCCTAAATACAGTGTCACTGGCATAACTCATATGGGGCAGAATTAAGTATGTTGTGATTCTAAGTTGGAGTCCACCCATGAGCATTTAATTAATAGGTGGTGTTCAAGGAGATTTGGCTGAGAGAGTGCCAGGAGGCAGACAGAGCTGAGGCCAAGCCCAGGTTCTGATCCTGCAGCACCTATTCTAGCCCCGTGATCTTGGAGGAAACTCCAGATGTCGTCTGTCAACTGAGGAAAGTAACATCTGTCCTCACTGGTTATTGTGAGCATCACTGGAGGAATGCGGACAAAAGCCTTTGCCAGCAGTAGAGTTCCACAGAAATGCCCCAATTATCATTTTTAGGAGGTTCCGGGATAAGCTGGGCACCCATAGACTTTATCACCTAAATTGGGACATTTGAAAGTGAAAGCAGCCATCTAATAATGACCTGTATGGGGACGTGGGCTCAGGTCCTCAGGGGACGGAGCTCTTAGGGCCTTGGTCAGGGAAAGAGGTAAACTGGGTCCCCACCCAACCTGCTTCAGCAGGCAGCCTGCCATGCTAACCTTGGGACTGAGGTCATGGGGCCACCACCCCTCACTTAATGCTCCTGTGTCAGGGCTGGAGACGGATGGTTGGGGAGAGAGGCGGGCAGGAGGAAAAAAGGCAGGCAGAAGAGAAAGGGGAAGTAGGAAAGGCCACGTGGAGGAAGGGGAGACAGGTGGAAAAATAGGGTGGGAGACAAAGGGAGGGAGGGGCTGAGAAGGATTTAAAGGAGAAAACAGATTTCCTAACTGGGAGCAACCCAGCTCCATGGAAGCGGCAACTTAGCAGCTTTGGCTGGAGCCAGGCTATGGTCCGGGAAAGGTCAGAGTGCACATTTATTGTCACCATGCCTGACACCTGGCAGGAGTGGTTTGGCCCACTGGGAATGCTGGCTGGAGCAGGCATTTCCCTCTCCTCCCCACTTCAGGCTGGGAGGGCTCCCAGAAAGCCAGAGGGCAATCTCTGAGCTCCCTGGACAGCATGCCACTCGGCCTTTGCTCCTCCAGTCTGCAGCCCACCTGTCTGATTCCCTAAGTCCTGCCTGACTCCAAGTCGTTCTCCACCCACACCTTGATAGACCGAAGTCAGTCTTTGAAACCGGGCTCCCCAGTGAGTCCTGAAACTGCTCCAAGGTAGGGCTGACCACTCCTTGCGCTTTCCCTACCCAGGGACCTCCTGGGACCCCACCTCCTGCAGGGAGCCTTCCTGGACAGATGTTCCCAGAGGAGGTCCCGTCCTGCCTTGGAGTTCCACCACTTCCGTCCACTACCCACACCACCCCACACCCCAGGCTGCAAAGTGCTCTACTATTTTTAGCATTAAAAGAGAGGTTAAGACTGTTTGCCCTTCTGTCTCCTTAGAAATGGGTCTGGAGGGCAGGGACACAGTCCTGCTTTGCCAGGGCTTGGTGCTCCCAGCAGTGACTTGGGGGCTACATTGTGCAGCAGGAGAGAGGGCTCTGTGTGTTCCATGGGGGTCCCCGAACTCAGTGGTCAAGACAGTTTGGAAGGGGGAAGGAGGAGGCAAGCCAATGCAGCAATAAGGTTATGGACTTATGGCCACATGACTATATTTTGGAATATTTAGAAGTTATTAATGAAGGTACACTAGGAATCTCAGCACTAACCGATTCTTGCTGGATAGGGCCCAGATAGACTTGTATGGAAGAGATAAAAATAACGCATAAAACCATGGATTTTGCATGCTAATGAATACTGTTGATTTATAGGTTAGCAGGTGTGGCTACAGACCTGAGAGAGCAAGCACCCTCCCTTAGTGTAACAAGCCCTGGCAACCGTCACACTACATCCACTCAGGGTCACACTACATCCACTCAGGCGGCAAGCTCTCCATTGGAAAGTCTATTTTTAAATAGCCTCACATTTGGTGATATCTTGTCCCATTCAAATTAAGAGGCTTCACTCTACTGAGAATTTAACACAATAAAGTATTTAGAACTTCTTTCAAAATCTGGAAGTGAACCTTTCCAGCCAACCCTTTCCGAAGCAAGCAGCTGGCTTCGATGCCCAAGGTGCCTGGGCCTGCGCTGGAGGGCTGTGCACTGACCTTTCAGGCTGTGGTCCACGTCGCCCCCACGGTCTTGCAGCAGGGTGTAGTCCCCTTGAGAGGGGAGGTCTTTCCTCTCTCCCATCCCATATGTTGCAGCATGATCTTCTACCACGTTAAAGTCCTGGCGGGGCTCAGCCATCCTGTTTCAAGGCCCACCTGGGGAAGGAAGATGGGAGGATGAGGGCGGGATGTGAAGCCAGGGACCTAAGCACTTGTGGAGTGGGGTGGGGGTGGGGCAGGAGAGGGAGGTACAACCTTCCCAGTCTGTGGCAGGTGGATTTCTGCCTCCTCCTACCTCCCCAACAACCAGAGGCCCCACTTACCCCATGCTCCCAAGGATTATTCACATGTATGTGCACCTTTAATTCACCAGCATCACATTGGCCCATATTCAAAACCACCAGGTGGTCAGGTTCATGGGGCCTGACTTGTTATTATGCCCAGCACTCTTCCCACTTCATTAAAAAACAAATGCTGCTGAGTAGTGGTTTGATCTTTTCTTTTACGGGAGGGTAGGACCAGACAGGAAGAGCCTGGCACCCCTGGTGAGGACGAGGAGGCACAGGGAAGCTACAGGATTGTTCAGTCGTGCGGCAACTGTGCAGCAAAACCAACTCTTGACCCAGGTGTCCTGACTCCCCCAGCTCTGAGTTGGGGGCTCCCCCGAGGTCAGGGCTGTGGCCTGCTCTCCCCTCACAGGCACCCACCAAGACTCCCAGGTGTGCACCCCAAGGGCTGGGCCGAGCAGTCCCGAACAGGGCCCCTGGGGGCCTGAGGCTTCTGAGCTGAGTGACTCGCACCCTCTCCTTCCCAGAGCTCCAGCAACAGGGCCTGCTGGCAACCACCACTTACTCACATTTTGCCCTCATCTGTATTGTGAATAGTTAGTTCTTTATGTTAAAAATAACATAACTTTGAACTTTTGGACTTTGCTATGGGTCATTCATGCTACGTTAGGTTGCTCTACTGATTTTCAGTCTTCTCTCTCCCATCTGAGTCTCCTGTCTTTTGCTTGGATATTGTCCTTTAAAATTATCTATTCATCTCCTTCATTTTCTACTTGATATTTATTCTCAGTCATCTCTTTGAAACTCCCCTGTTCTAGTTTGTCTCACTTCCTCCCTCTCTTTTGTACTTCTCGGCGGTGATTTTTATTTCTTACCCTTTAAAAATCTCAGCTATGTTTTGGCTTATTTTACATACATTTGTTTTTATATATTTACTTAAGTATATATAATAAACATACATATGCATCTATATGTGTAATGAATATAGTTTTATTTACGTATATGTGACTTATTTTACATATATTTACATCCTTATATTGTTACATTATTTTTGCTTTTAATTTTTACCCAAGATTCATGTCAGCTTTTCATTTAATTGATATTTTAACTTTGGAGGTAATTTTAGACTTACAGAAGCATTGCAAAAGTAGCTCAGGGGATCATTTAGTTATTTTGAACCTTTTGAAATCCCTTTAAAACATATTTCCCTACATAATCATCTCTCTAGCCTTTTACATTGCTTACTTTTCTTTTAATCTTTTCTTTCTATAATTGAAACTTTCATAATTTTTTCCTAATCTTAATCCAAACGCGGTCTTCATTTTAATTTTTAAAATTTGTGCTGCCATTTTCCCTTCTTTCATTGCCTTTTCTTTACATTCTTATCTATATTCAAATTTTGCTTGCATTCTTTACTTTATATCTGTAACTTGTTAAAACATGCATTTTACTGTTTCACCAAAGAAAACTATTGGCCCATGAGAAGCACATGATTTATTTATTTTGCAGAGTGAATAGCCTATGTTTTTAAGGATGATTCAATTTCTCCACCCGAGCCTGTAATCCATTCAGCTTGCTATTGGGCTTGCTCCAGCCCTGCAGGGGCGGTGCTGCTGGTAGGGGGTCACTGGAAGCCGGGGAAGTGAGACCCACTGCCTTGTTATCTGCTCCCTGGGACTGAGTGGGCAGCCTGGTAGCTGAAGGGCTTATACCATGGATGCATGTTGCCAGGCCCCAGAACAGTGTGGTGTTGCCCCAAGTCCCAAGAAGGACCTCAGGTCTCCTCCTCCTGACTTGCATCCTATGGAAACCTCTAGAAGCTGCTTAAGAAAACCCAACATCAAATGCAAAAATCCACCTGGAGAATATAGGGGCTGATCAAAATGCACAGGGCTTCTTGCCAAGACTTAATTAAAGGCTTTTTTTTTTTACTATCAAGAGAGAAGAAGAAATACGTGGGAGAACTCTCTAAGCAGGGAGGCTCACCGCCCCTGCCCCTCCCACCAATCCCAGATGGCAAATGCCTTCCGGTTCAGCGAGACCACGGGAGCTGCCTCTTCAACACGCTGGGCTGGGCCGCCTGCGCCTGTGCTGATGTTTTGGTACCTTCTGGCCACGTTAAGAAAGACAAGTCCATGTTCTGGAGCATCCCTATGAGTTTACTCCACACAAGCAGAAACTAGGAAACAGAAGGAAGATGTCCTTGGACAGCAAAATGAAGTAACTCTTGTTCTGACTCTTCAGACAAACACTGCACAAGAATGCAAGTTCCACCGGCGTGGGACCTGTCTGGGTCACTTACAGCTGTAGCCCAGGGCCTGGCACACAGTCGGGGCTCCCATGGCCCCTGTCAGAGGAGCATTTACCCCGTGTGGGCGCCCCCAAGGAGGGAACCTGTGCAGCAAGCCTCTGAGTGGATGTCATCATCATCATCACAGACACCGTGTTTCCCGTCGGGCTGAGGAGGAGCCTGGGAAGGAACCTGCCAGAGGCCACACAGTCAGTGGCCATGCCTGGAGGCAAAGCCCATCTTCCTGGAGCCCTCAGCTGCCACTTACCGTGTGTTCTTCCATCTGGGACCACAAAACACTGTTGGGGCACAGGTCTGGGAGTGGAAGGAGTGCAGCCCAGAGCTGACACCCTGAGACTGTGTGACCAGGTCACATCTCTCAACTTTCTTTGTCCCCAGAATGTCGCTTGATAGCCCTTGAGCTCCCTTCCTGCTCTGATACTTTATTCTAAGTAGGTCGAGCGGGCCTGTGTCCTCCAGCTCAGGAAGCCTGGTGGTCGGTCACAGGACAGCAGGACCCCTCTAGCCCAGGCCTGGGTGAGAGGCAGGGGACCCTGGGAGCCGAGCCAAGGTCCTTAGTCTCAGCCCTGCCTCCTTCGAGAGAGGGGTGGGAAATCTAAGGAGACACACACTCCTCTCTGATCACTGTGGTCTTCTCCTCGAGGGTCAAGGGCAGGATGATTGATCTGGAAGCACTGCACACAGGACATGTAAACCAACTGACAAATGGCACAGCCAGACATTCCAGCCCTAAGACTTTCACGCAGAAACAGCAGACTGGAAAAACACAAAAATAAGCACAGCTCTGAGGTGGGTCCACAGCTAGACTAGACGTGGTCATCACCCCAGGGATCCCTGTAATCTAAGAGAGACACACAGACAGGAAAATAAACAAACCAGAGCTGTTTTCCTGCACTTGGTTTTCTTCTTCTTCTAAGGCAACCAGTCTCTCTCTCTCTCTGCTTTCCTACCTCCTGCTTTCCCAGGCAGTGACTTGGAGGCAGCGGGGTGGAAGGTAAGGAAGATCATTTTAGGAGAGGCACAAGTTGAGCTAAACCTGGAAACTAAAACGGGCCACTTTTTAGGGACCTTTGGAAAAGTACTACCTCCTGACAAGAGAAAACAAGAACCAGAGGGTCCTGGTGTCCATCCCTGTCATTTCGTAGATGAATAATTTGAGGCCTGTGAGGAGATGACGGGCTTGTTGAGGGGCGCATGGCCTCGTCCTACAGGGTCGCACCCCTGCAATGCCACCCTGCCAGGGGCCAAGTGGGGAGGGGCACCGGAAGGGAGAAAAGCGTCCCCAGTGTGGTGAGAGGCAGGCGAACCAAGAAGCCTGCAGGGGAAGGGGCAATAAGGGCAGGGCAAGGGGTGGGGGTACTGGGAGGGATGAACCCCTGAATCAAATCACGGTGCTGCCACCCAATCTTCCTTTTTTCTTTTTTTAGTTTTTTTGATTGAGGTAAAATTCACACAACAGGAAGTTAACCACTTTAAAACACATAATTCGGTGGCATTTCAGACATTCACTATGTTGTGTAACCGTCACCTCTATCTAGTTCCAAAACATTTCATTCAACCCAAAAAGAGACCCTGTGTCCATTAAGCAGTTTCCCGCATCCCCCAAATTCCTTTCAGCCTCTTTGCTATTTTCTCTCTATGGATTTACTTTCTTTGGATATTTCAAATAAATGAAATCATTCAACATGGGGCCTTGTGTGAGTGGTTGCTTTCGCTTAGCGTTGTGTTTTCAGGATCCATCCACCGATGAAGAGCATCAGCCTTTCACTCCCTGAGTAATATTTCATTGTATGGATACACCACCTTTTGTGTAACCACTTATCCATTGATGGATACCATAGTCTTTTAATGTATTAAAAGTTTAGAAACAAGATAAAGGGACTTTTTACTGTGACTTTTGTCTGATAATGGTGAAACTGGAGTGGAGGGAGAAGAAAGGTGAGAGCTGGAAGGAGTGGGATGGCAGAAGGAGGGACCCCAGACAATCTTCAATTTCTTCCTCCTTTTTGCCGAGGGGCCCCCTAGGGCCCAGGATGTGTAGGTAAGACCCTGAGACCCTTTTACTCCTAAAGAAGAGGGCCTTCCAGGCTGCAGGATGGAGCACTTTCTGCCTAGTGGAGCTCATGTCTTCTGAGCTGCTTGCCTGAAGAGGCACCTTTGTTTTCTGATCATCCCAGCCCATGTCCAGAGGTGGATGAGGGAACCCAGGCACCTAGGCCAGCTCAGAGGTGACCTCCAGAGCATCACCAGGGCACCTGCTCACTGCCTGGAGCATGTCTGCCATTTCCCTGGACACTTTCCCATGACAGGACATCCAGGATCACTACAAACCTGTGAGGTGGGCAGGACACAAGATCCAGGCAGGTAAAGGGACCCCAAAGGCTAAATGACTTGCCTAAGGTCACCGAGGCAGCCTGGGACCTGGTTTGGATTCAGAATACCTCTCTCCTGGCCCTGCTGCTCTCTGGGACATGGGCCCTTGGCAGTCCTGATGTCTCTGCTCCCCCACCTGGCCTTTGCTCAGGTTCTCCACGGGGTCTGCAGATTTTGTGTGACCA